GATTCCTCTGTCCCTCTCGGAGAGCACAGCAAGCTACCGAGACATATTCAATATGCTAAAACATAGTAACAACAAGTCTCAAAAAATGGAGACGTTACTGGGCCCGCTCGAGCAAATCGATGAACAATGGGAGGACAGTGATAGACAGTATCTGTGTGCATTTTTCCTCTTAATAAGATACTCCACCTATTTCTCTATATCTTTTCTCTGTATACATGTTTCGACTCAGAGAACCTTCTGACTCTCTCCCTCACACCCTCAGCTGACTCCTTCATGTCACCTCTTTTGAGAGGGGTTCTTATATCATCCCATTGAAACGAGAGTTTCTTCATTAAAAAATTAAAAAATAAATAAATAAAATGAGAATTTCCTGTTCAGCCCTTCTCCTGGACATACTCGATTTTCACCGCTCTATTTTTCTCTCTATTGTGTTTACTAGAATGTGTCCCCACACCACCACCATTAGGAAATAATCTCCATGGGACCAGTGCCCTTAACATGCTCGCACAGGCTGTAACCCCAGTGACTAGATATTGCCTGTACATGGCCTTCGTTAAGTCCTTGGTAAATGAAAGAATGTGAATCATCCTGTTTACAAGCTGAGGAATTTTTAAGAGTGGAGGAACCAAGGTTTATTTAACCGTTCCCTCGCTGAGGGGCGTGTAGGTACTTTCTGGTTTTGGACAGTGCAAGCAATGCTGCGTTGCCTGTGTTTGCAGGAAAGATCCGAGAAATGGGGATACAGAGTTAAAGAGATGCATGTTCATAGTGAACAGAAGATGCCCAGTTACACCGTCAAAAGATTAGTACACCATCCTTGATCCCCAGGATGAATCCCACTTGGTCATGGTGTATGATCTTTTTGATGAGTAGTTGAATTCTATTTGCTAGTATTTTGTTGAGAATCTTCGCATCTGTGTTCATCAGGGATATCGGCCTGTAGTTTTCTTTTCTTGTGGTGTCTTTGTTTCCTTTTGGTATGAGAGAGATATGGGCTTCTTAGAAACTGTTTGGGAGAGTTTCTCTTTTTTCAATTTCCTGGAAAAGCTTGAGAAGAACTGGTAGTAGGTCCTCTTTAAATGTTTGGAAAAATTCGCTAGTGAATCCATCTGGACCTGGGCTTTTGTTTTTGGGAAGACTTTTGATTACAGTTTCAATTTCCTTGATCTTAATAGGTCTATTCAGGTACTCTAGATCTCCTTGATTCAGCTTTGGGAGATGATAGGACTGGAGCGATAGCACAGCGGTAGGGCGTTTGCCTTGGACGCAGCCAACATGGCCAACCCGAGTTCGATTCCTCCGCCCCTCTCGGAGAGCCCAGCAAGCTACCGAGTGTATCTCACCCGCAGGGCAGAGCCTGGCAAGCTCCCCGTGACGTATTCGATATGCCAGACACAGTAACAGCAATTCTCAAAATGGAGACGTTATTGGGCCCACTCGAGCAAATCGATGAACAATGGGAGGGCCTTTACCTTATCCATTTCGTCTAGGTTCTCTTGTTTCATGGCATACAGACTTTCAAAGTAGTCTCTGATGATCTTTTGAATTTCTTTGGTTTCTGTTGTGATATTCTCATTTCTGATTCGGTTTATTAGGGTTTTCTCTCTCTCTGTTTCTTTGTGAGTGTTGCTAGTGGTTTATCTATCTTGTTTATTTTCTCGAAGAACCAACTCTTGGTTTCATCGATCTTTCGGATTGTTTCTTTGGTTCTGCTCTAAGTTTTATGATCTCTTTCCTTCTGCCCGATTTGGGCTCTTTCTGTTGGTCCTTTTCTAAGATCTTGAGCTGTGAAGTCAAGTTGTTTATGTGCATCCTTTCTTTCGTCCTGAGAAATGCTTGCAGAGCTATAAATTTTCTCCTTAAAACTTTCACTGCATCCCATAAGTTCTGGTAGCTCGTGTCTTCATTCTCATTTGTTTCCAGGTATCTTTTAATTTCATCCTTGACTTCCTTCCTGCCCCACTCGTTGTTCAGCATTGAGTTGTTTAATTTCCAGGTGTTTGATTTGGTTCTCCATGTCTGTGTGTGATTCACTTCTATCCTCCGTGCATCCTGGTCTGAAAAAATGGTTGATACTATTTCTATCTTCCTGATTCTATTGAGGTATGTTTTGTGGCCTAGCACATGGTCTATTTTGGAAAATGTTCTGTGCGCACTGGAGAAGAATGTGTATTCTTTCTTTTGGGGGTGTAAAGTCCTGTATAGGTCTATAAGCCCTTTATCTTCTATTTCTTCTTTCAAAGCCAATGATTCCTTGCTGAGTTTTGTTCTTGTTGATCTATCCAGAGGTGATAAGGCAGTGTTGAAGTCTCCAACTACTATTGTGTTGCTAGCAATGCCCTCCTTAAAATCTGTTAGCAGTTGTTTTAAATATTTAGCTGTTCCCTAATTAGGTGCATATACATTTAAGAGTATGATTTCTTCCTGTTGTATATATCCCTTGATGACGAGAAAATAGCCTTTGCTGTCCTTCAAATCTTTTTCAATGTGAAATTAATGTTGTCGGATACTAGTATGGCCACCCCAGCTTTTTTGAAGGAGCTGTTTGCTTGCAGGATTGTTTTCCATCCTTTGACTTTGAGTCTGTGTTTGCTCTGACTGTTGAGATGAGTTTCTTGTAGGCAGCAGGATATAGGGTTCTGTCTCTGAATCCATTTTGCACTCTGTGTCTCTTAATTGGTGAATTTAGACCGTTGACATTGAGAAAGATTACTATTGCGGGGTTTTGTGTCATCTTTTTGTAAGGGTCTGCTGTGGTTGTAGGGTTTGTCTTGTCTTATTTTAGCCTTTGTTGTAGGTTTGGTTTAGAGTCTATGAAGTTCCTGAGCTGCTGTTTATCTAGAAAATAGTGTACCGTTCCTTTGAGTTTGAGTGAGAGTTTAGCCGGATAGAGTATTCTTGGTGAAGCATTCATTTCCGTGAGTTTTTTCACTATATTTCGCCACTGCCTACAAAATTTAATTTTTAATCTTACTTAAAGAGATTGTTGCTGTCACTGTCACTGTCCTCACGTTGTTCATCGATTTGCTCAAGCAGGCCCAGTAACATTGTGAGACTTGTTGTTATTGTGTTTGGCATATCGAATACATCTCAGGTAGCTTGCCAGGCTTTGCCGTTGGGGATGAGATACTTTCGGTAGCTTGCCAGGCTCTCAGAGAGGGGTGGAGTCTCAGAGAGGGGTGGAGGAAGAGTCGTGGGCAGAGGAATCGAACTCGGGTCGGCCTGGTCGGCCGCATGCAAGGTAAATGGCCTACTTCTATGCTATTGCATATTTCCATGTAAATTATTAAGTTTGGACATTTTAATAACTTCTTGTTGGCCATCTTTATCTTCCATAAATTGCCTATTTGTAGTACTTGGTATTATTATCCGTAGTCTTACCAACTTGTAGCTGCCACTGTATTGAGCATATTAATACTTCAGTCATGTCTGGCCCTTAGCTTTTCCAGTATGCCTTTTGTCTTTCAAATTTGCATTTTTTGATACATTTATGCATTCCATTTTTTCAAGTTTTTACATTTTATCATATCTTTTCAGGATTATACATTTTCAACTTTGTCTTTCAAGTATGTCATAAAAAATTTCATTTTTATACTGTCAAACAATTTTTTTAACTTCTGGGTTTTTCCATTTGTGTTTTTCTTAACCAAAACTAAAATGTACTCTCTCAAATATGTATAGAGGGAAGGAACATTTAAATTTTTTAGTTTTTTTCTGTCTAGAGGTAGTTTTATTTCTCCATAGTAGTGTCTTAGGGTTTTTCTTTTCAACAGTTTCTTACCATCATGTCAACACCATATTTTAAAAAGAACATTCTTGTCCCACTGATTTGAAATTTAAATGACTATGAATTGAACATTGATTTTGATACCATGAATATATAAAATATAAATGGATTTTTATATACACTATGTATCTGTACATATGTATACAAATATAAATTTTGCTGTGTTCTTGAGTCTATTTTTTTTTTTTTTTTTGCTTTTTTGGGTCACACACGGCAATACACAGGGATGTTACTCCTGGCTTTCACTCAGGAATTACTCCTGGCAGTGCTCGCAGGACCATGCTGGGAATCAAACACTGCGGGATGCTGGGAATCAAACCCTGGTCAGCCGCATGCAAGGCCCTACCTACTGTACTATAGCTCCAGCCCTTGAGTCTATTCTTATCCCTACCTTTTTACTCAAATATATATGTTTAGTATGAAACTTCTAGTTAAGTTTTAATACCTTATAAATTCTATCTCAAAAATATACTTTTCACTTTGTTCTGGTTAGTCTCTAATATTTCATATTCTTAATCATTTATTTCTGTTAAGCTTCCTGTGTTTCTGCCTAAAATTGCATTTTTGAAGGAATAACTGACCTCTAAGCACTCTAGAGGTTGGACTGGAATATGGGTATCAGATAGTCTCAGCAATCCAGGAAAGCCAAAACAAGGCCTGAAGCAAGTGGACTCGGGGTCTTTTCATATGTAGCAAAGGAAAGTGAGTCAATTAGGTTGAGTTTGATGTGTGAGAGCCAGTAATGGAGAGATAGAAATTGGCAGTTTAAATTTTGAAATAGGTTTTCTAGTAAACTTCTAGAATTTCAGAGATTTACTGAAGTCTTTATTCACTTTCTTGTGAGGCACCACTTTTTCTTACTCATTCCAAGTTTGGGCAATTTGAGGACAGATTGTTACAAATAAACACAGAACTGGGTATCTTCATAAAGAGTAGAAATTAGTCCATATGTGGAGAAATGTCTAGTTTCAAAAGATGTTTGTGTTATTTTTAGAAATATTCATCTACAAATGCTATCTATTAATAGCTTTATTATATTTCTGCAAAGCATGTTATTATCATAATGTGACTTAGAAATTCACATTCTCTTTTTAATAAAAACTCTATACCACTGAATAGAAATAATTTTTGCTATCAGAATTATACTTTGATTTGTCGTAAGGTACTGTAAATATAGGCTTATTCTTATGGCTTTTTCATTTTGTTTTTTCAGAGCTTGATAGCCCAGAAGAATTAGGAAAAAAGCGGATCTGCAGGATTATCACTAAAGATTTCCCCCAGTATTTTGCAGTAGTTTCACGGATAAAGCAGGAAAGTAACCAAATTGGTCCTGAGGGTGGAATTCTAAGCAGCACCACTGTACCTCTTGTCCAAGCTTCTTTCCCAGAAGGCGCTTTAACTAAAAGAATTCGAGTGGGCCTCCAGGTAATTAATATCCACAATAAGTGGGTATAGTAAGACATGTGAGAATGCTATTTTGAAAACATCTTCATAGTTTATCTACACAGTATTGCAAATTAAAGCATTTAGTCTATTTTGAAAATCAGTCTATTGCAAATGAAAAGTTAGATGTAAAATTAGCTTGATTTATGAAATCAAATATATATTTCATAGTTTTTCTGTTTCAAAGTATTACTAGATTCTAATGAAGTATATATATTTTTAGTGATAAGTTATTGGTCTTTGTACGTGAGAAAACAAAACGCACCAAAAAATAAAAGGGCTGGAGCAATAGCACAGCAGTAGGGCGTTTGCCTTGCACGCAGCCAACATGGCTGACCCGAGTTCGATTCCTCCACCCTTCTCGGAGAGCCCGGCAAGCTACCGAGAGTATCTCGCCTGCACGGCAGAGCCTGGCAAGCTCCCCGTGACATATTCGGTATGCCAAACACAGTAACAACAAAGTCTCCAATGGAGACGTTACTGGGCCCGCTCGAGCAAATCGATGATCAACAGGAGGGCCTTTACTTACTTACTTACTAGCATTAAAATCACATTTGATTTGTTTTATGATACGCTGTTTATAAAGATCAGTAATATGAAACTTGTAAGCTCTAAATTTGGGGTTAAGTAAATCATAAATTCTGGGCTTTATTCAAACCATTGGGATTTGGGTTAGAAAAGCTGCTGAAAATTTTGTAAAAATTCTTTTTTCTTTTTCTGTTAAATAAGACAAACTAAACCTTCACTAAAAGGCCTATTAACATCTCCTTACTGAATACAGTAAATGACCTGGAAAAAAATTGAATTAAATGACCGTGAGATACAGGTACAAAGTTGTTCATGATTGAGTTTCAGTCGTACAAAGTTCTGAACACCCATCCCTCTCATTGGTAGTGACCTCTTACTACCAATGTCCCCAGCCAACCCACTGATCTGAAAAGTTTTAAATGTTTTAATATAGATATTAATAACTGACTGAAATTTGGGGTTTTTTTTTGTAAATTGACCTCTCGTGTCTAAGGGTTAGGTTAAAGAGTTGAGTGTTCGCCTGCAGTGAACATTTAGATCTTGAGAGAGCACGTAAAATTGTCATGGCTGAAGTTCCATTCAAAGAAATCAAGAGGGAAAAATTGGATGATAGGATTAGTAAGCTAGAACTGAAATTTTGCATGTTTTGCTACTTAACTCTATCAGCCTCAATTTTAACATGGGTCCAAATTGTCTTCCTAATATTGCATCAGATACTCTGCATAGGTTTAATATATATATTGGAACCAATATTTGTTGTTCTTTAAGGACTATTTTTTTTCTTCCTGTGAAATTTTATTTTTTCCTTTCATGCAAAACTATAAGGAAATACACAGGTTGTAGGTTGTTTGGGTTTTGTTTTATGTCTTCCCGAAATAGAAAAGATGAAGAAGAAAGACTGTGTTTGGCTGTCTTTGTTGCCTTTTCCCTTCCCACTTAAATAATCAGCCTTCTGAGGAGGCAAAACATGTCCACTTTCATTTAAGATTTAAGATCTTTCTCTGTTCCTAGGCCCAGCCTGTTCCAGATGAAATTGTGAAAAAGATCCTTGGAAACAAAGCAACATTCAGTCCAATTGTCACAGTGGAACCAAGGAGAAGGAAATTCCATAAGCCAATAACAATGACCATTCCTGTACCCCCACCCTCAGGAGAAGGCGTATCCAATGGGTACAAGGGGGATACCACACCCAATCTACGCCTTCTCTGTAGCATAACAGGTTTGGTTAAGTTGTTATAGTTTCAACTGATGCATTTATGTTGCTTCTTTTCAAATATATAAATACTGAAAACCTCTATGCCAAAATTTGGAATAGGAAAAGACAGGGAATTAAAAAAAATTGGGGGGGAGCTGGAGTGATAACACAGCAGGTAGGGTGTTTGCCTTGCATGCAGCCGACCCGGGTTCGATTCCCAGAATCCCATATGGTCCCCTGAGCACTGCCAAGAGTGATTCCTGAGTGCAGAGCCAGGAGTAACCCCTGAGCATCGGTGGGTGTGAGCCCCCCTGCCTAAATTTTTTTTATCAGTGCATCTCTATTAGCCTAAAGGCATTTTCCTAAGTTGCAGATGTCATAACTCATTTAAAATTCAGGGATATCATTTTAGTGCTATTGAGTGTTGATGACAGGGCCCTTGTAAGGTTATTACTGAATCTGCTGGAGTTCTCAGGTAATTCAAGAGTTTAACTCTCAAATACACCTGGAAATAGGGAAGAACACAGGAGGTGATTGTTCTAACCTTTTCTGTGCATGAGTGTGATTCAGTTACTAACATGCAGAGCTGAAGAGAATACATTGTGTAATAAACACTTGGAATCTACAGCTCAGTTTATAATTTGATGACCTGAATGTGATTTTCAGTGAAATTCTCAGGTAAAGTTAGGTTGTTCTTATACTTTGAAGTGTAAATAGAAGAGGAAGGGTGTCTGTCAGCAGTGCCCAGGAGGGGACCCATCTTTTGCAATACTGTGTGTACCTGACTGACCAGGACTCAGAGGAGAATGCAGCACTGCTTAGGCCCTGCAGTGCTCAGGAGACACCAGAGTCAGACTTGGTGATGTTCCTGGCCACCAGAGCTACTCTCAGAGGTGCTCAGAAGGCCAGGTAGTGCCTTGGGGCAAGTGCAAGTAAGCTAAGTTCTCTCTTCCTTTGAGTTATTTAACTGACCCTCAAAGAGTAGTTTTACTGGCTGGTTCACCTTTTACCTTGGAAAAGAAAAAAATTCCAGTCAGTACAATATTTCCAGCCTCTTTTAAAAATAAAAGTATTATGTTGTCTCTCTGAAAAAAAAAATTACAGTGATAAGTATGTTTTATAAGTGCCAGTTATAAGCTATTTTTGCATCAAGTTTAAGCCATTTATTTGTACTCAGATGAAAAATAATTTTTAAAATACAACATCTGAGAACCAAATCACACTGAGTCCAAAATATATAAAAGAAGAACAGAAAAGAGAAAACTACTGCTGTAGTTTCAGAAAACTGAAAGTGAAGCTTTGAGCGTCAGTGGCAACACAGAATGGAATGATAATGAGCATTTTTCTAGAATGACAATAAACCTATAATAAAGTCACTATATCTGCTGCTGTTCTCTCAGGGGGCACCTCACCTGCTCAGTGGGAAGACATCACAGGAACTACTCCTTTGACGTTTATAAAGGATTGTGTCTCTTTTACAACCAATGTTTCAGCCAGGTATGGAAATAAAAGCTAAAAAAGAAGCAAGAAGAAACTCGTTTTACAACTTTTTGTAAAGTAATCAACACCAGAATGATAAGGTTTTGAACCTTGGGTGGTGAGGTTGGGCACAACTCAGAAATTTAAAATTCACCAAGATAGATCAATTTAATTCTGTTCTCCCAAGAATCTCTGAAGTGTAAGATTTGATTTTTCTAGTAAAAGTTATGCTACAAAATCTGATAGGACTGTCTTTTCTCTCCTATGTTCTCCCATAAAATTCTTATTCCTTCCAATAACTAAGTCGCAAATTAATCTCTTTAAGACTAGAAGGGAAGGCATAACCTAAATTTTTATAAACAGAATAATAATCTTATAGGAAGTAAAAGAGGAAAAAATGTCCTTAGCATTACTTTAACAAAGTCATAACAAATGTAGGGTTTCTGTGTTTGATAAAGTAACCATGTTTGCAAGTTGTTAAATGTACAAGATACTGTTTTGCTTTCATTTCCCTGTGTGCTCTTAATTTTTTAAATTGCAAACTTTTCAAAGGGTTAACTTTGAAATCACCTCATTGTCATACTTATGTTATTCTTAGATTTTGGCTCGCAGACTGCCATCAAGTTTTAGAAACTGTGGGGTTAGCCACACAACTTTACAGAGAACTAATATGTGTTCCATATATGGCCAAGTTTGTTGTTTTTGCCAAAATGAATGATCCTGTAGAGTCCTCCCTGAGATGTTTCTGCATGACAGATGACAAAGTGGATAAAACTTTAGAGCAGCAAGAGAATTTTGAGGAAGTTGCAAGAAGCAAAGATATTGAGGTAACTATTCACAGGTTCATTTAATACCCTATACAGGGGCTTCATTTGGAGGCCAGAAAAACCAAGTACGTGTTTGCATTAGTGTTTTGGGGTTTTTATTTAAAACGTGAAATCATTGTGTCTATTCCAGTTGTCTTTTTAGTGGATCTTAATTGGTTAAAATATAGATGCTAATGAGTACTGCCCCAGTCAAGGTCGTAAATTGCTTGTGATATCTTTTTTTCAGGCATCTACACATATTACCCTGATTTTCCTTAGATTTTAGATAAATATATAAGAATTCTAGATACTCCCTCTTTACCCTCCTTTTCTCCCTTTTAAACAGTAAAATAATCAAAAAATCATTTTGCTGTTTAAGCAATAAATAAATACTTGCAAAGTCTATTAGAATAAGTAATTGATGTCATACAATTTATCAAAAATGCCTTCCATCACTAGACTAGAAATAAACATAAAATTCGGTTTCTACTTTATACTTGGTCTCAACAATTTCAATCACAACTATTGAATTATGAGCCAGTAATTATTTTTTGACAAACAGATTCACAATGATTTCCTAATTAAGAAGATAAATGTGATTTAGAAGCATGCGAGTCTTCTAATTTTATGTGATTTAAACTATCAAATTTTTTTCAACTCCAATTTATATTAAATTATATATTTCTTTGACTCTAAAAGGTCCTGGAAGGAAAACCAATTTATGTTGATTGTTATGGAAATCTGGCCCCACTTACCAAAGGAGGACAGCAACTTGTTTTTCACTTTTATGCTTTCAAAGAAAATAGACTGCCATTTTCCATCAAGGTAAATTGAAATCTGTGAATTAAAAAAAATAATCAGTTCTTACAGTGCCAAACTGCTGTCGTTAGAATACAAACTATCAAGCTGTGGTGAGAAGTGGTGGGAAAGAAAGATGACCAGACTAATGGTGGCACAAGGACAATGGTGGATAGTCAGAGGCACTTTTTGTGATGGTGAGGTCCAGTAGTTTTGCACATCAGTACCGTAAACTTTAATACTATCACTGTCACTGTCCTCCCATTGTTCATCAGTTTGCTCTAGCGGGCCCAGTAACATTGTGAGACGTTACTGTGTTTGGCATATTGAATACGTCACAGGGAGCTTGCTAGGCTTTGCTGTGCGGGTGAGCTTGTAGCTTGTCGGGCTCTCCGAGTGGGGTGCAGAAATCGAACCCAGCTCGGCCGGGCTGGCTGCGTGCAAGGCAAATGCTCTACCCGCTGTGCTATCGCTCCAGCCCAAACTTTAATACTACCTAACATATAATTTTAAAAAAAAAGTTGAAATGCCTGAAAAATAAATAACTGCATAGAGAATAAAAAGAAATGTTTTACTGATTTATGCAGTTTTAAATATCCCACTAAATGTGAATTCAAAGAAGCATCAGAGTTTGTCCTAATTCTCCCCAAGAATACTTTAGAGATTTGTAATTGGGTCTTTACCTTTTTTTTTTCCCAATCACCATGAGACAGACCATTACAGAGCTGTTCATGGTTGGGTTTCAGTCATACAATGTCCCAACACACATCCCTCCACCAGTGTAATTTCCCAGCACCAGTGTTCCCAGTTTCCTTCCCACCCACCCAAGTCCCCCAAACCCCAGCAACAGCCTGCCTCTATAACAGGCATCTCTCCCCCCCCTTCCTCTCCCTCTCTCTCTCTCTTCCCCTCCCTCTCTCCCCTTTCCTCTCTCTGTCTCCCTCTCTCTCCCCATTTTCTTCTTTAAGCAAATGTGTGTAAGACCAAACTGTTTATAATAACAAAATGCATCATATATGATTAATACTCAAATCATGGACAAAATCCTGGGAATTCTGGAGATTTCACATTCCTCCTCAGAAAACAGGCCACTTGGGGCCAGAGAGATAGTATAGGGCATAGGGCACTTACCTTGCACAGCTGACCCAGGTTCCAGGTTCAATCCCCCGCATCCCCCCCCCCCCGCCCCCATTCCAGGATTGATCCCTGAGTGCAAAGCCAGGAGTAAGGCCAGAGCACAGCTGGGTATGGCCCAAAAACAAAAAAAAATGGGAAGGGGGAGTCAGGAGGAGGAGAGGGTGGGGGAGAGGCCACTATGAGACAAGTAACTTGGTATTATTTGCTGCTATTGTTGCTAAAATTGTGGATCTGAGGGAAAGATACTAGACAGGAAGTAATACCAATCAAGGCTGTCAAACGTGTTTTGTCAAGATGCTCCAAGCAGATACAACAATCCTGTGTTTGAACTAGAGCCTACCACTCTAAATCTTGTAGAGTTGAAATGTGATATTCTTGGTTGATATTTAGTTGTTACTTTTACTTTACTATTCTGGTCTTAAGACTCCATAAAACAGACATGATTAAACTTGTAGGACAGAAATCCTCAGGAAAAAACTCTCTTTCTATAACAATTGACTAGCTAAATTCTTGTAGATTAGAGACACCAGCCAAGAGCCTTGTGGTCGTTTGTCTTTTCTGAAAGAACCAAAGACAACAAAAGGACTGCCTCAAACAGCTGTTTGCAACCTAAATATCACGCTGCCAGCACATAAAAAGGTATCTTTCAGTACTGGTTTCTTTTAACTTTCCTTCCTGGTTCCTATAGGCCTTTGGTATGTAATTAAGGAATGCTTTGTAACATGATTAAAGATCTTGAAACTCAAGTTTTATTAGTCTCTTTGTGTAGATTGTATTCTTGTGACTGTGGTGTCAAATTCTTATGGTTTGTATGATGGAGTCCTCTGTTTATTGCTTCTGCTTCTGCTGGTAGTAGTATATAGGTTTATGCTTTCAAATAATGTCACACGTTAATTTGCCATGAATGTACAATTCTTGGTATTTTTTGTTGGCTTCTTTTTTTGCTTTCTAAATCAGCTTGCCTTTTGTGCTCCCTACTCAGTCCTTTTCATATCCTGATATTCTTTTCCCTGCTGTCCATTATAATATTCCTTGTCTCTGCAATGCATCTTGGAACCAAAAGGAGACAGAGTCAGATCAAGATGATGAGGTAATATGAACACTTCTGCTTTTACTTTATCAGAGCTAGAATAGAAATTGAATTGTCTGAAAGAAGTTGCAGAGGGCTGAAACATGTGATTTTTGTATTTTTGCAAGTCTTAGCTTAAGTGAGGTGAAGGAGTATAATTTTCTGAAAGAACGGTTTAATCCTTCACATATTCAGCAGAGTACTTCACTGTATTCAACAAAATCAAAATCCTGCTAATGAATTAAAAAGAACTGAAGTCTTTAAACATTTTTTAATGTGAGAAATTGGTATTTAGTACATATATACATATATATGTAGCTTCAACTAGATTCCACTGTTATAACTTGTAAATCAAGTCCATGGAAAATATATGAGACCTTATTTGCAGATCAACTAAGTATAAATATATATTTATTTGTATAAATATGTATCTAAATATATGCTCAGTGGCTATTAATAAATATTTTTTCTAGTTAAATTTATCTTTGCCATTTATTAAGATATTTGTTTATACTTTATCACTTAATATTTCTCCGTGTCCTATGATTACTGATTTTTTTCAAGCTCATTTGTCAGTAATGATAGAACGAGCCACCTTAAAAGTGACATTATTTTTAATAGAACCATTAACTTGTCAATATTCTCTATTTAGTCTATGCCTATTAACATACAGAAACAACAGCAGTAATCAGAATAATAAACTTTGTGTGCCTTTTTCCCTTTAAATGTACTCACAGAGAGTGTACATTGTGATACATGTGTTTTCAGTACAAATCAACTTGGGAAAATTTAGTGCTCAACATCAGAAGTCTCTGTAATGCTCGTGTTTTATTTGTAATTCCTGTAGTCTGCTGTGTTGATGCTCCAACATTTGCTAAGTGATGGTTATATGGTTGAGATATTGGGATGTGTTATCATATGAAAAAGCCATAAGAAGAAAAAAGAAAGATAAACACCAGCCTAAACAATGCTCCAGAACTATTAACGTGTCACTAAAAAGGTGGACATAGTCTTTCCGTTTTCTTATTTTTCAGATCGAGAAGACAGACAGACGACAGAGCTTTGCCTCTTTAGCGTTACGTAAGCGCTACAGCTACTTGACTGAGCCTGGAATGAGTGAGTTTTCTAACACATTTACTAATCTATATTGGCTTTTTTTTTTATAAGAAGAGACATTTTTTCTATACAAACTAATTTCTGGGGTCATTTGAATACCAAATGACAAAAGACAAATTGCCCACAGAAAAGCTTTATCATGAAATCTGAGTAATAGTTCCTAGTTGAAAATAGAAGAGTCAAACACCCCTAGATCAGAGCTTTGGAACAGTTATTTATTTTTTTAAGCCATTAACTTAAAAATTGGATTCATCTGTTATCTTTAAAGACTTTGATTTCACTTTGTTAACTCTTGTAAAAGGTAATGTTAATACCAATGTTGTTTTCAATCAAAGGAGAAAATATTTACTCCAATACTAAATATGATAGTGGAAAGAATGCTAAAATGACTTTGGCTGTTGTCTCATTTCTCTTAATAAAAATAGGACATTGTATCTTCATCCTGATTCTTTGTTTTCAGTTTGCAAAATTAAACTTTCCTGCCTTCTTGAGGTAGTATTAGACTGATTTCTTATTTCCTTCCTTCCTTCTTCCTTCCTTTCTTCCGTCTTTTCCTTCCTTCCTTCTCTCCTTCCTCCCTCCCTCCCTTCCTTCCTTCTCTCTTACTTCCTTTCTTACTTTGTTCCTTCTTGCCTGTCTTCCTGTCTTCCTTCCTTCCTTCCTTTCTTCCTTCCTTCCTTCCTTCCTTCCTTCCTTCCTTCCTTCCTTCCTTCCTTCCTTCCACCCTTTATTAAGTATCAGTTCTAAGGCTTATCTTCACTAGACTGGGTAAACCCTTTCCTTCTTTAAATGTTTCTTTTGTCTCATTGATAACTAGCTTGCAATTTCTAAGGGTTCTTCATTCATATTCATTTTTCTCTTTTTCTCCCTCTCTCCTTCCCTCATCATTTTGATTATCACTTCTGATAATCAGTAAATCTTAAAGATAAAACTTCCTTCACCAATAGGAGCTAGGGGTTTTGAGAGCAGTATTGTGTTTACTTTAGCCATCAGGGGAGGGTGTATAAAAGGGTTATTTTAAATTAGTGAATCGTTTCTGCTTAACCTAATTCACAATGATTTGATTTCAAGAGGATTGAACATTTACTTATCAGTAGGAACCATCCTTCACTTTGGTTTTAGCCAACCTTCCTGGAATTCATGTTTCTTTGGGACTACATAGGCAATCAAATGTGCAGCATGAAACTACTGCCCTAAATGCGTAGGTGGTTGTAGCACAATCTCTGGAAGTCTGGCTCCTTGACTACTAAGGAAGCTTTTCTATTCAGACACAAAACAGGATAGAGAAACTGAACCCTACTCATAGTAATGAATGTACTCCCCGAACTCAGTTTTTTCTTTTAGCATAAATTACCTTAATAGTTCCAAAACCATAAAGGCTGAAATTAATTCTCATTGCAAAGCAGGGGAGTTGTGTGTGTTGTCAGATGGTTTTTCAACCTAACTAAATCTCCTTAATTGAAGTTTTGTTTGAAATGCGACTTGGTTCCAGAGGTAAAGCTCTAACTGTGCTTAAGACGGCTAGGCAACATGCATAAGCTTTGGCCGAACTCCATAGGCCAGCTATTTTAGGTCAGAGGCATCTCTGGGCAGGCTGTCTCCCATTTGACGCTAGGTCTTAAGATGTTTTGGGGGAGAAGGGGTGGGTGTTAGGTGGAGTAGAATTTGGGCTTTTGGGTCAAACCTGGCTGTACTCAGAGCACCATATATGGTGCCAGAGATCAAACCCAGGTCAACCATGTGCATGGCCAAGCAAGACCTGTCCCCATTTTAACTTATTTTTAAAAAGACTTTTCTTTAGGGTAGGAGTTGTAAGGTCAGGTCTGTGCTAAGTTTACTGAGTTTTCCCCACTTGTGAAAGGAATGCTAATTTTTGCCTTTTGGCTTTTGGTAGAAGAAAGGGGGTAATTGTTCCCTGTATAAGGAAGAGAAACACAAGAGTGGTGAAGGGAGAAATGACTAAGAAGAGACAAAAGGAAACCAAGGGCATGCCCTAACTTTTGAACTGGTGTTAGAACCTGAAGTAATTTCCACACATGACCCTGCCCTTCCAAATATCCTCCTCCACACACACCTTTGTGGCCCCTTCCTAAATATTTGATGTAATTCAGTCTCTGACCTCTAGACATCCCTGTATTATAAATGATATCAGGAATTATGTATGAGAGCCTAAGATGTGTAACCGATCTGCAAGTTGGCTGCTGCATGACATTAGAAAACCATAGCTGTGCTTCAGAAGACTTTGTTGCTTGATGGAGCCAACTTTCAGTGGTAAAGGAGAGCTGCTTTGCCAATAATATGGAATATTTTAATTTTAATTCTCTTGAGATATTGGACTGAGTTCAGATCACTAAATCGAAGGACTCCCCCCAGAAGTTGCATTTGCAATGTGGTACTTCCAAAAGAGTTAAGCAATAGAATATTGAAAATTATGGCTAGGAGCAATGAATGGGTGGAGTTTCCTTTAGTTCTTCCACTTTAGAATGCTATGTAAGCCGAGAAAAGGATGTGTTCTGAATATTTGAATTTAAATGTACACTAGGAATGAAAATCTTCACTCTTGTGGGAGTAACTGCTAATCCAAGGACTGGATTATAGCAATGGCACGAGCACAGCATGAAGAGGAGCCTAAAAGATGAAGCAGATTCTCATTTCCTCTTCGCATGTCACTATTATTCTGAACCAGTGTTTTCTGGGAACGAGACTGTACTCCACTTGACATAGAGCATTAGCCCTTGGCAGGCATTCCAAATCTCTGTGACCAGCTCGGTTTGTTTGGTAGTCGTAGATGTAGCGAGGACTAAGCATGTGTTTGCTCTTCCCCGGATACTCTGTTTCCCTCATGTGTGTGCTTCTTGTCCCATTGCCAGATGAATGCTGGAATTAAATCCATCTTTCCTGGTGGCAGGTCTTTCTCATGGTTGCTCCAGTGCTTGGGGTATCCGTGAGTCCCACAAATATTTTGGCAAGGAACCAGAATGTACACCTTTGCCACTGAAATATATACACAAATTTATATATACATGTATGTGTGTGTATACATATATATATGTGGCAGCATACTGTATGCCACTATAGGTACTTACAGATGGGGTGTTAAAAATGTGAGTGTGCTTTTAGATTTCCCCTTGATACCTTTTGAGAATTAAAAGTCAAATAGATTTAAAATGTATATCTGAAATCAGTGAACTACTTTAATCTATAATGATGATAGTGGATATATTTAGCTGCAGATGTAGATATGTTTAGCTGCAGAACATTTTTAATATGCAGTATTACTTGTTTAATGTCTCAAAAGGTACCAGATTCCACATCTCATGGAAAAAGTGTACTCTTCTTTCTAAATGCTCTAGCAAAAGTATTTTTAAAATTTATAAAATTGTGCATAATATGGCATAAGAACTGTGTTACTTCATTGGCTTGTTTACCATGATATACTGCGCATGATAAGATGTTTTCAGTTGCTTTGCTTGCTTATGGTAATCATGAACCACGTTTTCAGGTTTCTTTATCCCTTTGTGTGTGTGTACACATGCATTTTTTAAATCATTTATTACCGTATTTTCCTCACCAAAAGGAATATACTGCATGGAAAAAGATAAATGCAAACATTCCTTTTCTTTTCATTGTTTGACTCAGAAAACTTCTTGCTCTTATTGGCTTTTTATGAGTGTAAAGCATAACTGAATTGTGCATGGAAGATTCAAATTTAAAATCCGGTGGCTTCACAGTTTGCACATCAGTTGCCTGTCACTTAAAAGTTATTTTGGAATCTGCATGAAATAGGCTTGAGTGGTTTTCTAAAAATGAATCTTACATATTTAATATATAACTACGCCCATTAATAATGGTTTTAAGTAGGTGCAATCAGCATCACCAAAAGGTTCAAGAGAAGGGAACATTAGCAATTCCTAAATGAGAGTTCTATGCTTACACAAATCCAGCATGTACCTATACAGGCAAAACAGAATGTCTACTGATATTTCAAAATATGACCAGCCCATAAGAAAGTCAATAGGAAGTAAAGGAACAGTTTCCCATTGTGATTTTTTTTCTCATTGTTCTTTCCTTTCTGTTTCTCATTGTTGGCATTTTCAGTTGCGATGTGCTTTTTCTGTCTTTCATTTCCCATTGCTCTGTTTTTATTTTTGTTTTTTTGTTTATTTTACTTTGGATTAGTTATATATAGAAATTTTATTTCTTTGATTGTCCCTTTTGCCTCTTCCATCCTAAATCATGCAAACAATTGTACTTGCTTTTGTAAAATTTCAAGGTTTACTGACCAATTTTTTTCTCTGGTCTCTCTGTTTCTCAACCATTTTTGTTGATTTTTGTGTTTGATTTCATTTTAAAATTTAAGAAACAGTTGAACGGAGTGCAGGAGCAGCAAGATCCCTCCCCACCACTTACTCATACAAGCCATTCTTTTCTACAAGACCCTTCCAGTCCTGGACAACAGCTCCGATTACAGTGCCCGGGCCAGCCAAGTCAGGCTTCACTTCCTTATCAAGTTCTTCTTCTAATACGCCATCAGCTTCTCCATTAAAATCAATATGGTCTGGTTCGACTCCTTCTCCAATCAAATCCACTTTAGGCGCATCAACGACATCTTCAGTTAAATCTATTAGTGATGTAGCATCTCCAATTAGATCCTTTCGGACAATTTCTTCACCAATAAAAACAGTGGTGTCACAATCTCCTTACAATATCCAGGTGTCCTCTGGTACACTGGCTAGAGCCCCTGGAATCACAGAGGCCTTGCCTTTAAAAGGGCTGGCATCCAGTTCTACTTTTTCCACTCGGACCTCTCCTGTGACTACTGCTGGGTCTCTTTTGGAGAGGTCATCAATTACTATGACACCTCCTGCCTCCCCCAAGTCAAACATAAATATGTATTCCTCAAGTTTGCCATTTAAGTCGATCATTACATCAGCAGCACCACTAATTTCGTCACCTTTAAAGTCAGTGATATCTCCAGCTAAATCAGCAGTTGATGTTGCCTCGTCACCTAAAGCTGCAATGGCTTCTTCTCTCTCATCACCTGTGAAACAGATGCCTGGACATGCAGAGGTAGCATTAGTCAACGGATCTATTTCTCCTCTGAAATACCCATCATCTTCGACTCTAATTAATGGGTGCAAAGCCACTGCCACATTACAGGAAAAAATTTCTATAGCTACAAACTCTGTGAGCTCTACAGTTAGCGCAGCCACTGACACAGTTGACAAGGTGTTTTCTACCACAACAGCCGTGCCATTTTCCCCACTCAGGTCATATGTTTCTTCAGCACCATCAGCTTTTCAGTCTCTAAGAACTCCTTCTGCAAGTGCACTCTATACATCCCTTGGGTCGTCGATATCTGCAACTACCTCATCTGTAACTTCATCGATAATAACAGTGCCAGTCTACTCTGTAGTCAATGTTTTGCCAGAACCAGCATTAAAGAAACTTCCAGACTCTCATTCACTTACAAAATCAGCAGCAGCCTTGCTGTCACCCATTAAAACATTGACTACGGAGACACGTCCTCAGCCCCATCTCACTCGAAGTTCATCTCCTGTTAAGTCGTCGTTGTTCCTCACACCCTCTGCCCTTAAGTTGTCTACACCATCTTCTTTATCTTCCAGTCAGGAGATATTAAAAGATGTGGCTGAGATGAAAGAGGACCTAATGCGCATGACGGCAATACTCCAAACAGACGTGCCTGAGGAGAAGCCATTCCAACCTGAGCCCCCCAAAGAAGGAAGAATTGATGATGAAGAGCCCTTCAAAATTGTTGAGAAAGTAAAGGAAGACCTAGTGAAAGTTAGCGAAATCCTTAAAAAAGATGTGTGTGTAGATAATAAAGGGCCACCTAAATCACCAAAGGGTGACAAGGGACTCTCTCCTGAAGATGACTGGATAGAATTTAGTTCCGAAGAAATTCGAGAAGCAAGACAACAAGCTGCTGCCAGCCATTCTCCTTCCCTGCCAGAGAGAGTACAAGTCAAGGCAAAAGCTGCCTCTGAGAAGGATTACAATTTGACCAAAGTTATTGATTACCTAACAAACGATATCGGAAGCAGTTCACTGACAAACTTGAAGTACAAGTTTGAAGATGCGAAGAAGGATGGGGAAGAGAGACAGAAAAGAATTTTAAAGCCGGCCATTGCTTTGCAGGAACACAAACTAAAAATGCCGCCAGCCTCCATGAGGCCTTCCACCTCTGAGAAAGAGTTATGTAAAATGGCAGATTCCTTTTTTGGAACAGATACTATTTTAGAATCCCCAGATGACTTTTCTCAGCATGACCAAGACAAAAGTCCCTTGTCTGACAGTGGCTTTGAAACAAGAAGTGAAAAAACACCATCCGCACCACAAAGCGCTGAAAGTACTGGTCCTAAGCCACTTTTTCATGAAGTTCCTATCCCTCCTGTCATTACGGAAACAAGAACAGAAGTGGTTCACGTTATCAGGAGCTACGAACCTTCAGCTGGAGAAGCTCCCCCGTCCCAACCAGAGGAGCCTGCATCGCCCAAACCTGCGCCTGCGTTTATGGAATTGGAACCCAAGCCCACCACTTCTAGTATCAAAGAAAAAGTGAAAGCATTTCAGATGAAAGCCAGCAGTGAGGAAGATGACCACAATCGTGTTCTGAGCAAAGGCATGCGGGTCAAAGAGGAGACTCACATAACCACGACCACCAGGATGGTTTATCATTCTCCACCAGGCAGCGAGGGTGCCTCTGAAAGAATCGAAGAAACCATGTCCGTCCACGACATCATGAAGGCCTTTCAGTCCGGGCGGGACCCCTCCAAAGAGCTGGCAGGTCTGTTTGAACATAAGTCAGCAGTGTCTCCAGATGTTCACAAGTCTGCTGCTGAAACCTCAGCCCAGCAAGCAGAGAAGGACAGCCAAATGAAACCCAAACTGGAGCGTATAATAGAAGTCCACATCGAAAAAGGTAACCAAGCTGAGCCCACTGAAGTCATTATTAGAGAAACCAAAAAGCATCCCGAGAAGGAAATGTATGTGTATCAGAAAGACTTATCCCGGGGAGATATTAACCTAAAAGATTTTCTGCCAGAAAAACATGATGCTTTTCCTTGTTCAGAGGAGCAGGGTCAGCAAGAAGAAGAAGAACTTACTGCCGAAGAGTCACTTCCTTCTTATCTGGAGTCTTCCAGAGTAAACACTCCTGTGTCCCAAGAAGAAGATAGCCGCCCTAGTTCAGCTCAACTCATTTCTGATGACTCTTATAAAACCCTGAAGCTTTTGAGTCAACACTCAATAGAGTACCATGACGATGAGTTATCAGAACTAAGAGGGGAGTCTTACAGGTTTGCTGAGAAAATGCTTCTGTCAGAAAAGCTAGATGTGTCTCATTCTGATACTGAGGAATCGGTGACAGACCATGCAGGACCCCCTAGCTCAGAGTTACAGGGGTCTGATAAGCGGTCCAGAGAAAAAGTAGTCACTGCCCCCAAAAAAGAAATTCTCTCCAAAATCTATAAAGATGTGTCTGAAAATGGTGTAGGTAAAGTGTCTAAAGATGAGCCTTTTGATAAAGTGACAGTTTTGCACTATTCTGGCGATGTTAGTAGTCCAAAACATGCCATGTGGATGCGCTTTACTGAGGACAGATTAGAGAGAGGGAGAGAGAAGTTGATATATGAAGATAGGGTGGACAGGACTGTGAAGGAAGCGGAAGAAAAACTGACTGAAGTGTCACAGTTTTTTCGTGACAAAACAGAAAAGCTCAACGATGAACTGCAGTCCCCCGAGAAAAAGCCACGCCCCAGGAATGGCAAAGAGTATTCTTCTCAAAGCTCTACCAGTAGCAGCCCTGAGAAGGTACTGCTGAAGGGACTGTTGGCGTCCAATGACGAGTGGATTAAGGCGAGGCAGCACGGTCGTGATGGACAAGGCTTCCCCAAAGCCGATGAGAGGAAAGCATCCAGTCTACCCAGCAGCCCAGAGAAAAAGAGTCTTTCCCAAGAGACTGAGGACAGCAAGTCCACGGAGGAAGTCAAAGGAAGTATTGCACAGAGCAAAGCAGTGGAAGGGCCCCAGTCTGGGTTTCAGCTCAAACAATCTAAGCTCAGTTCGATTAGATTAAAATTTGAACAAGGCACACAGGCAAAAAGAAAGGACATACCTCAAGATGACAAAAAGCCAGATGGCCAATCCAGGATCCCAGTGAAAAAAATCCAGGAGAGCAAGCTACCTGTTTACCAAGTTTTTGCTAGAGAAAAACAGCAGAAGGCTGTAGACCTTCCAGAGGAAAGTGTGTCTGTGAAAAAAGATTTTGTGGTAATGAAAGCTAAAGATGAGCATGCCCAAAGCAATGAAATTGTTGTAAATGATTCTGGCTCTGATGATGTGAAAAAACAGAGAACTGAAATGTCAAGTAATGCAATGCCTGACTATTTTTCTGAGCAGCAGGCTAAAGACTTGGCATGTCATGTAACCTCAGATTTAGCAACTAAGGGACCATGGGACAAAAAGGTTTTTCGAACGTGGGAAAGTTCTGGAGCCACTAACAATAAGTTGCAGAAAGAAAAACTTTCTCACGTACTTGTGCATGATGTAAGAGAGAATCATATTGGTCACCCTGAGAGTAAGATTGTCGATCAAAGGAATGAGTTTATGTCTGTGACTGAGAGAGAACACAAATTGTTAACAAATGGCTCTCTCTCAGAAATTAAGGAAATGACTGTAAAATTGCCCTCTAAAAAAGTCTTATATAGGGAATATGTTGTTAAAGAGGGGGAATGTCCAGGTGGCTCGTTTGATCAACTTTCCAGGAGAAGTGAGAGCTCAGCCGTGTCTCACATCCCAGTCAGAGTGGCAGAGGAAAGAAGAATGCCGTCTTCAAACATTCCTGATGGTTTTCCTGAGCAACCGACCTGTACAAATCATGAACTATCACAAAAGTCACCCCAGTCGAGTATGAGTAAAGAGACAGTTGAGACACAGTGCTTTAATTCCATAGAAGATGAAAAAGTTTCCTACTCAGAAATCAGCAAAGGTTCCAAAACTCAGAATTTTGTAGGTTTATGCCCACCTCGGGAGGAAACGGAAACGTCTCCCACCAAATCTCCTGATTCCTTAGACTTTAGCCCAGGAAAGGAGTCTCCCTCTAGTGATGTGTTCGAACCCACTCCCATTGACAGATTGGAAAAAGTCGCACCACTTGCCCAGTCAGAGGGAGGGAAAGAGATAAAAACTTTACCTGTTTATGTCAGTTTCGTCCAGGTGGGAAAGCAATATGAGAAGGAGATACAACAAGGAAATGTTAAAAAAATCATAAGTCAGGAATGTAAGACAGTACAAGAGACCAAGGGGACCTTTTATACAAGTAGACAGCAGAAGCAACCTCCCTCTCCCCAGGGCAGTCCAGAGGATGACACTCTAGAGCAAGTATCCTTTCTAGACAGCTCTGGTAAAAGTCCTTTAACCCCAGAAACACCCAGTTCAGAGGAAGTGAGTTATGAATTTACATCTAAGACACCAGACTCGCTAATAGCTTATATACCAGGCAAGCCCAGCCCAATCCCCGAGGTTTCTGAGGAATCCGAGGAGGAAGAGCAGGCCAGGTCAGCCTCCTTAAAGCAGACTACAGTCGAGGAAGGAACTGTGAAGCATGAAATGTCTGTGAATGTGAGTAAGGACTCTAACCAAAGACCTAAAAGTAACAGAGTTGCCTATATTGAATTTCCCCCTCCTCCACCCCTGGATCCAGATCAGATGGAGTCGGAGAAGAAACACCATTATCTCCAAGAAAGAGAAGTGGACATGATCGAAGTTAATCTGCAAGATGAGCATGACAAGTACCAGTTGGTGGAACCCGTCATCAGAGTCCAGCCACCCTCGCCAGTTCCTCCCGGGGCAGACGTCAGTGATTCGAGTGATGATGAATCTATTTATCAACCGGTCCCAGTTAAGAAATACACCTTCAAGCTGAAGGAAGTGGATGAAGAACACAAAGAAATGACAAAATCCAAAGCTTCTGCTGAAAAAGCTTCCAAAGAGAAAGAAGTGGAAAAGAATGGATCAGGAAAAGATCACGAGTTAGGCCTTGGCCTTGATTCACCTCAGAACGAAGCGGCCCAGAACGGGAACAATGACCAGTCTGTCACAGAGTGTTCCATCGCTACCACAGCAGAGTTTTCGCACGACACAGACGCCACTGAGATCGACTCCTTGGATGGCTACGATCTACAAGATGAAGATGATGGCTTGACAGAGAGTGACTCTAAACTCCCAAGTCAAACCATGGAAATCAAGAAAGAAGTCTGGAACACAGAAGGCATTCTGAAGCAAGCTGATCGCTCATTTAGCCAGAGTAAACTTGAAGTTATCGAGGAGGAAGGAAGGGTGGGACTAGACGAAGATAAACCACCTTCTAAAAGTGCTTCATATGAAAAGACCTCTGATAAGACTGAGCAGAAGTCAGGGGCCCAGTTTTTTACATTAGAAGGCAGACATCCGGACAGATCAGTGTTTCCTGATACTTACTTCAGTTACAAAGTAGATGAAGAGTTTGCCACTCCTTTTAAAACAGTCGCTACCAAAGGCCTAGATTTTGACCCTTGGTCAAGTAACCGAGGGGATGATGAAGTTTTTGACAGTAAATCTCGGGAAGATGAAACAAAGCCATTTGGTCTGGCAGTGGAAGACCGCTCTCCAGCAACAACCCCTGATACAACGCCAGCCAGAACGCCAACTGATGAGAGTACCCCAACTAGTGAGCCTAACCCCTTCCCATTTCATGAAGGAAAAATGTTTGAGATGACTCGCAGTGGTGCAATTGACATGAGCAAGAGGGATTTTGTGGAAGAGAGGCTCCAATTTTTCCAGATTGGTGAGCATACTTCTGAAGGGAAGTCAGGGGACCAGGGGGAAGGGGATACAAGTATAGTCACTGCCACACCACAGCCACAGACAGGGGACACCACTGTAGAAACCAATCTAGAGAGAAATGTAGAGGCAACTGCAGTCGAAACTAATCCCAGCATCACGACCAGCGGAGAGTGTCAGGAAGGAACCTCCAGTGGCTCTCTGGAGAAATCATCAGCTGCCACTAACACCTCTAAAGTTGATCCCAAATCGCGCACGCCTATAAAAATGGGAATTTCTGCATCTACCATGACCATGAAGAAAGAAGGCACTGGCGAAGTAGCAGATAAGATAGAAGCCATGGTAACCAGTTGTCAGGGGTTAGAGAATGAAACCATAACCATGATTTCAAATACAACCAATAGCCAGATGGGCATTAGGCCCCCAGAAAAACACGATTTTCAAAAAGATAACTTTAATAACAACAACAATTTGGATTCTTCCACTATGCAGACAGATAACATTACAAGTATGGTAGCCCTGACAGAACATTCTGCACCCACTTGTACCACAGAGAAAGCTAATCCAGTGAAAAGTTCATCAGGAAAAAAGACAGGGGTACTGCAAGGACACTGTACGAGAGAGAAGCAGAAAGTGTTTGGAGAGCAGCAAAAGACTAAGGAATTGATAGGGATTAGGCGAAAATCCAAACTCCCCATAAAGGCCACTTCATCAAAAGATATTCTCCCAAATCACATGCCAAACACTAAAGTGAGCAAAACGAAGCAGGTTAGTCCATCTGAGAAAGCCAAAACCCTTTCTTCTTCGTGTGTAGATGTGAAGTCTAGAATTCCGATAAAAAACACACACAGGGATAACATAATTTCAGTGAGAAAAGCATGTGCCACACAAAAACACGGGCAGCCAGAGAGAGGCAGAGCCAAACAGCTTCCCTCCAAGTTGCCAATAAAGGTAAGATCCACCTGTGTCACTCCCACCAATACCACAACCACCACTACCTCCACCACCACCACCACCACCACCACCACCACCACCACCACCACCACAGTTAAAGTTAGAAAAAGTCAGCTTAAAGAAGTTTGTAAACATTCCATTGAATATTTTAAGGGAATTAGTGGTGAGACCTTAAAGCTTGTGGAGCGCCTCTCTGAAGAAGACAAAAAGATGCAGTCGGAGTTGTCCGATGAGGAAGACAGTACCTCCAGAAACACGTCGTTGTCCGAGCCTTCCCGGGGTGGCCAGCCTTCAGTTACATCGAAGTCTGCTAGAGATAAGAAAACAGAGGCAGCATCTTTAAAATCAAAGAGTGAAAAGGCCGGCAGTGAGCAAAGGAGCAGTAGGAGGACTGGTGAGAATGAAGGCAGTCAGGTTTCTTGAGCACTCTTTGCTCACCTGCTGGAGAACAAGCATAGTTTGTAAACACTTTCCAACTTGTAGACCCTAGTGCATGAACTGTTGTGATTGCCTGTGGAGTGACTCCCGTGTAGTGTCTCATTCTGTCATTGTCATCTGTGTGTGTTGTCAACCTATTCTTCTTTCCTCCTTTTAACAAACTACACGGTAGACAGCCAGGGAAGCATGCTGAAGAGACTGGTGTCATTTGAGATAAGCAGAATTTTTTTTCCTTTTAATGTTCTCATGGATATGATTCTGTCAAAGTAAAAGCACAGATGTCAAATTCCCATCGTGGTGTTTTCACCAACACAACAACCCTGTAACTGTCGTAAAGTAGCTAGTTTGTCAGCATGTTCGATTCCATTACATTGAGCATTCATGTAGTCTGACATTTGACCTGATGTAGGTGAAAATCAAGTGAATCGTGTGAAAACAGAAGTGTTCATGTAGGCAATTAGGACACATTTAAGTGTACAGTCTTAGCACTAGTCTCTGTAAAATCTGAGTAATGCTAAAAGCAATTTTCCAGTATCCTACCTGTCTTGATGATTATTTTAATTAAGAAATTGTAAATCGTAGGTCCACAGAGTCCATGTGAACGAACAGATATAAGGATGGCAATAGTTGCTGACCACCTGGGACTTAGTTGGACAGGTAAGTGTGTGCACTCCTGAGGAGATGGTTTCTAAGTTCATGTATGGTTCATTGTATTGAAAAAATTATAAGCGGTAGGGCGTTTGCCTTGCATGCAGCCGGCGTGGCTGACCCAGGTTCCTCCACCCCTCTCGGAGAGCTCAGCAAGCTACCGAGAGTATATCGCCCGCACAGCAAAGCCGTGACATATTTAATATGCCAAACACAGTAACAACAAGTCTCACAATGAAGACATTACTGAGCCCACTCGAGGAAATAGATGAGCAACGGGAGGACAGTGCTACAGTGCTAATACTAACAAGTAAAAAAAAAGTTATTACACATGGTTCTGTCTACCCAGAAATAATTGCTGGCAATTCCTTTTGCATGGTATTTTTCAAAGCCCTTTCTAATTACACGGAAGACTAGAAATTGAAATATCATTTTACCATAAGTTGAAGGCATCTCTTCAGAATGCCCTTTCTGTCCAGATAAAATTGCACATAATGACATATTTCTTTTCTAGCGTAAAGAAAAACACAATGATGACTTGTAAAAAATTCAGAAGTTTAAAACTTGGTTTATACCCTTAGAGCATATCTCTTAGAGAACAGTTGAATGAATTCATGCCTAGGTTTCACATATGTTAGACATTTGAGTTTTCACAATTTTTCTGATAGTCATGTATCATAGCTGTATCATCTGTTTATTAACGGAGACTCACTTTTGTGCTCAAAGATATACTTAAAACAGAATTTAGAACCACTTTGATAATGAATTGGAGAGCCCGGCAAGCTACCGAGAGTATTCGATATGCCAGACACAGTAACAACAAAAGTCTCCAATGGAGACGTTACTGGGCCCTCTTGAGCAAATCGACGATCAAGGGGAGGGCCTTTACCTTACCTTTACCTTGATAATGAAAAATAAGGATGGGGGCTGGAGTGATAGCACAGAGGGTAGGGCATTTACCTTGCATGCGCCAACCCGGGTTCAATTCCCAGCATCCCATATGGTTCCCCAAGCACCACCAGGAGTAATTTCTGAGTGCATGAGCCAGGAGTAATGCCTGCGCACCACCAGGTATGACCCAAAAAGCATAATAATAATAATAATAATAATAATAATAATAATAATAATAAATGTATAAGACAAGAAAACAAAAGACAAGTTTCAAATTTTGAATTTAAAAAATGTATTTTGGTTTGGGGATAGTGTCTGAGGAACCCATGGCTATGTGGGGATCAAAACTGGGAGTTCCAGGAGCCAGAGAGATAGTACAGTTGGGAAGATGCTTGCCTTGCACGTGGCTGACTCTAACCCCTGGTCACAGAGCCAGGAGTAAGCCCTCTGCACTGCTGGTGTATCCCCTGTTACCAAAAAAACATAAAACACGCCCAAAAAAACCACCCCAGGGCTCCTGCATGTGTTCCAGCTCTTTGAGTTAGTTCCCTGATCCTGTGCTCAAGCCCATTGAACTCTTTCTCTCTAAATTAAAAAAAAAATCTCACCATTCTACAAAGAAGTAATCATCGATGTCAAGAGAGGGGTCCAGCAGGGTGATACCATTTCACCGAAACTCTTCAGTGCCACCCTCGAGAACATCAAGCAACGACTGGAATGGGAAGGAATGGGAGTGAAGATAGATGGTCGGCAACTACACCACCTCCGCTTTGCAGATGACATCGTTTTAGTAACACCAAACATTAGCCAAGCAGCACAAATGCTGGCCGACTTCAACCGTGAGTGTGGAAAGGTCAGACTATAGCTGAATCTTACGGAGACAATGTTTATGAGAAACAGCCTCATTTCTGACGCTCCATTCACTCTCAACGGAACGACCATCTCCTAATGCAACAGTTATGTGTACCTAGGTCGAGAAGTCAACATGATGAATGACCTGGCACCTGAGTTGCACAGGAGGAAGAGAGTGGCTTGGAACGCCTTCAAGAGCATCAAAGAAATAGCTAAGAGGACAAAGAACCTCCGGCTCCGGGCATATCTCTTTGATTCCACTGTTCTTCCTGCATTAACATATGCCTCCGAGACCTGGGCCCTATGCAAACAGGATGAGAACGCTATTCAGATCTCCCAAAGAGGAATCGAAAGAGCTATGCTTGGAGTATCACGTTTCACTCAAATGAGAGAAAGATTCCGGAGTTCCGACCTTCATCAACGATCAATAATCAGGGACGCTGTCTCGTTTGCCAAGGCATCAAAAATCAAATGGGCTGGACATGTAATGAGATTTAGAGATGACCGCTGGACTAGAGCCGTTGCCAACTGGATTCCACGGGATGTCAAAAGACCGCATGGTCGCCCACCTACCAGATGGTCAGACTTCTTCATCACGATCATGAACAATCGGTTTGAGGCTCTTTGTGTTCCTAGAACCAACAGACACCATTGGGCTACACTAGCATGCGACAGGGACAAATGGAGACGTTACTGGCACCTGCTCGAGCAAATTGACGATTAACGGGAAGTCAAGTGATCAGGGAGAACTTTTCACCTGATATTAGAAGGCCTGGATACCCCTCCCAGCAATTCTCTGCCAGCGAGACCTGTTTAATGCCAGGGTCCAGTGACACTGGGATTACCTGGACTGTACATGGGGGTGGAGCGGGCTCTAGGGCTTCTGGGACTGTAGCCTGTGATGCTCGGGAAAACTTATGCTGTTGGGGATCAAACCAGGGTCAGCTGCATATTTAGCGTGCACCTTAATGCCTGTCCTGCCTCCCTGACCCTGGGCCACAGCAGTAGTACAGTGGGTAGGGAATTTGGCTTGCATATGGCCTACCTAGGTTTGCTTCCCAGCCCCCATGTAGTTCCCTGAGTGCTGCCAGGAGTGATCCTGAGCATGGCAAGGTATGACCCAAAACACTGTGTGTGTGTGTGTGTGTGTGTGTGTGTGTACACAAGTGTGCATGTATGCGTGCATGTGTATGTGCATATTTTTTTAATGGTGAATTTGAAAAAAGTCAAATGCAATTCCAACAATGAAATCCCAGTAGGAGCGATCTCTAAGCAAAGAGAGCCAGGAATAAATTTTGATTACTGCCAGGTAGGGCTGCAAAAATAATAATAAAAAAAATTAATTAGATCAATTTCAGTGTTAAACTGGATCTCCCAAATCTTAACTTGTGAGTCGAAAGATAGTTTGGATTCTTTTGTTTTATTGTTTTGTTGTTATTGTTGCTTGGTGTGGTTTTGTTTGTTTGGTTTTTTGTAGTGCATGGATAGAACCTGTAGCCTAACATATAAAGGCAGGTGCACTAATCATGGGCTATACCCCATACCCAAGTCAAAGAAAGTTAAAATTGTATAGATTATGGGTTTCGGTTTAGAAAGAAGCAAATGATGATTAGTTAAAAAAAATAATAAAATTGTTTTGTTTTATTTGGGGGCTATACCTAGCTGGCAGGGTTCAGGGAACCTTGCTGTGCCAGAGATCAAACCTGGCTGCCTTCAACATGTAAAACATGCAGAGCTTCCAGACCTTTGAGCCTATCGTCTAGGAAAAAAATTCATGAAGATTTATTGTCATATCTAAAGTCACCTTTCGTTTCTTGCATATCTTCAGCAATATAATCCCATACTCAGAGAAACCATTCTCTAGGCATATTATGAAATGAGATAATGGCAGATTTTCTCCTCTGAATACCCTAAATCTTGCCTCCTTCCACTTACTAACCTTGTCTGACATTCAGACACTGCTAATGACCAAGAGCTTAGAGGAACTTTCAAATAAAGCATCTAGCCTAAGTAATCCTTTGCCTATTGTTGGGGATCAAGAGAATTTCGTGTTGTATAAATGGTTGCTAGTAACACTTAAATGATTAAATAAGTATAAATAATATTTCTGTTTCACTGTCACCGTCCTCCTGTTGTTCATCGATTTGCTCAAGTAGACCCAGTAATCTCTCCATTGTGAGACTTGTTGTTACTGTGGTTGGCATATTGAATACGTCACGGGGAGCTTGCCAGGCTTTGCCGTGCCAGCAAGATACTCTTAATAGCTTGCCGGGCTCTCCAGGAGGGGCGGAGAAATTGAACTCAGGTTGGTTAGGTCGGCCGCGCGCAAGGCAAACGCCCTACCATTATGCTATTGCTCCAGCCAGATATTTCTATTTAACACTGAAATTTTTCATCTTAAAACATAGTGGAACAAGTGTTGATTTTGTGGTATTACATGCCCCTTTAATTGTTTACCCAAGCAAACCCAGTTCTTTGCAAAGTAAATTTTTTAAGAGGTGACGTAATAGCCAGATAGAAAGTCATAAAAGAAAAATCTCACAGTGACGGTGTATGTTGCACTTCATCAGGACTCCAAAGAAAAGTGAAAGCTCCAAAGTCAGTGAAAGCTGACTGGGTAATAATTGTTCTCTTAGAACACAAATAAAGAATTTAGATGACTTGTTTAAAAATTTTTATTACTATATGTGCAATAAAAATTACTAGAAAATTTAGAGTTTAAAAGAGCAAACTTTGTTCCATAGAATTGCTATTAAATCTAAGTGTGTTTTAATTATTTTTAAGTTTTAAAATGTTATTTACACAACACAATTTTCTGTTCTATCATATATAATTCCATGCTTCTGCAAAATTGAACATCTAATTTTAATTTAATAAGTAAAAAATGTAGACATACTTCACAATGGTGTGTTTTTTTTTCCTGTGGGTCACAGTGCATGAGTCATGACATCAAGTAATGGTTTTGTTTTTAAATAAAGTAGGAAAAAATGTCAGTATGTTGGTTACTGTTTCGTGAAGGTCTGGTTTTATTTACCCACCATGCATACAATGTATTTCTAACTTGTAGGCCTTGATCACTATGGGTTCTAAGCTAATGCATTATATTAATTCAATCTTCAACATGTGGATTGTATTTGAATATTTAGTAGTAATATGCCCATAGTACCAATGATATCAATGTAAACCATCACAATTTATAAAAGTAAATCACTTGGTCTAAAGATACTGACTTCTATGGGCCTTTAAACAAACTAAAATATTAGCAGAATAAATTCTTACCAATTTCTTTTCCTTGGGAATTTTTTTTCATTTTTTTCTTGTAATCCTTTAAGGTAATACCTGATAAATTACTTTAACTGTATGGAAAACTATGCAGAGAAAAGTTAGTCTCGTTGCCATCTGTGACTACTACGTTTTCATAGCTGAAGACTAACATTTATGTCTCTTTACAAAGACACTATGTATTTACAAGATTGAGTCCATAGTTGTATCTGTTTAGATAGAAAACTAGCCCACTCTCATATATTCTGGAATCATCATTTATCCTACCCCAGAGTACTCATAAAACCCAAAGGAAAATAGGGTGTGTTGTTACATGACAAAACTGTGTACTTTACAAAGATTGCCTAGCAAAAAATTATATAGTCCAAGAGATGCCAACATCTCATGGGCCATATTCATAAATTGCATATCTCTGTCTTGTATGAAACTTGCTTAAACCACAAAAAGTAATTTAACCAAATTAAAGGAATTCTGCAATATCTTTTTTGTACAAATCAGTAATCCTTATAATTAAGTAATTATAAGAATTAAGTTACAGCCTGAATTTGACCGAAGATTTTCTGTGAAGTTAAGTGTATAAAGAATGTCAAAGGTTTTAATATAAATTTCTTTTACCACCCTCTTCCTTTTTTACTGTTTACTGTTTAGCATTACTTTTTTGAAATGTATGTGATAAAAGAATATGAAATGTCAATAATTCTTTCTCTTTTTTCTACAGAACTGGCAAGGGAATTAAATTTTTCTGTGGATGAAATCAATCAAATACGTGTGGAAAATCCAAATTCTTTAATTTCTCAGAGCTTCATGTTATTAAAAAAATGGGTTACCAGAGACGGAAAAAATGCCACAAGTATGCTAAAATTGTATTAACTTTCATAGTATATATCTCTTAATATTTTAGATATAAAAATGGTTAGAAAGCCATTTGAAGGTATACTTGTTTTTGTTGAGTGCTAACACTTAAAACTTCAGTCTTTAAGAATTCTTTTTTAAAGCAAATAGTAGTACATTTTTCACCTTGTAGTTTTCTCTGTGATCATCAAAAATGAAAATAAAATATGTGATGGTTAAATAATGGGGTGGTGGTCAGAAGCACGATGAGCAGAAATGCCTGCTCGGGGAGCAAGGAACAGAAACAGTGGGATAGATACAAGAAATAAGAATTTTTACTCATCTGGTCTGTGGTTGCAAAGAATTTTCTAATACTGCTTGGTTTAGTTTAGTCAGCATGTGGAAAGGAGGGGACCATGCATTATAGTAATGCGAAATCCAGCCCACAGTGATGTAGAATAAGTTACTGTGGGTTTGTTTCGGTCAGGCTGGCCTTAGTAAATCATTAAAGTGCTTAGCATCAAATATGAGAGTGACCTATTTTGACGGTCTATAAAAGGAGGCAAATGTTTCCATTTTTATGTTATCCCCTTGTGCCTAAGGAAGCGATCTTATGCCATCTGCTGTGCATCTTACAGTGAAAAGAATTTTGCTGTCATTCACACAGCTTCAAAGTGATTCTTACAACCCTAATTTGTCTTCTGCAATGGCAAGTTTTCTGAGCCCTCTTGATAGTGCTATTGCTGAGCTAAGTAAGGAGGAGCTAAAATGCCAAGGGGGTGAATGAAGTGCATGCCTTTGCATGAGTATTGTACTCTCTGGAAAATTTAATTGGATTTTCAACCTTTTTTATTCTTTTTCAGCTGATGCCTTAACGTCGGTCTTGACAAAAATTAATCGAATAGATATAGTGACTCTGCTAGAAGGACCAATATTTGATTATGGAAATATTTCTGGCACCAGAAGTTTTGCAGATGAGAACAATGTTTTTCATGATCCTGTTGATGGTAATTGAATTTAGTGTTCCCATTTATCTAATGATTTGATAATTTTGAAAGTGGAGTAGCAAACAAAGCAGTTCTCTGAAACTAAATTGTGAATTGCTTGACTTAATTTCTCATTTTATATCATTTTCTCTGCCAGAATCCACAAAGAAATAGTCTGGTAGAACAAATTTAGTGGAAGTCTCTTATATAACACATGTGAAGCAGAAAAGTATAAATTCTCTGAGAGTTGCTGTCTGACTAATGGAGAAAATGTGTTACCTTGAGAATGTACTGCTTTTGTCACAGTTTTTCAAACTAGTGAGCTTTCTTCTTCTTCTTCACATGTAGATAAAATCAAATTTTGAGCTACTCTTACCAAGGGTCAATTTTAAGCATATTATACAGACCTTGTATACAGACTTTCTTGGCATGAGATATTTAAGTGTTTACTAAAAAAACTAACCACTCAAAAAAGTGTCTTATGTAGCATTAACACACTGCTCTATTGTTAAGAAAAGCTCTACCTGATCATTTATTTTTCTTCATGAACAGACTTTGGGGTAAAGTACAATGAAGGGGTAGAGACAGAAAAAGAAACTAGAAATATGTTTCTACTGTTTCAAATTCAGAAAAATACGGAGACCATTCCACCCCATTTTTAAGCCAGAAAGAGTAACTTCTAATTCTGCATATGTGACAAAAGAATTCAAATTCTTAAAAGTTTTCCCTTTAATTCAGCAGAAAAATTAAAGCATCTCTTGTAATATGTTCATTACATATTACATAACACAAACATGATGCTAATGTCAAAGTCATTTCTTTGCTCATAAATAGCATAGAACCTTGGAAAGACACTCTCTTCAAGACCTTATTTTACATATGCAGTCACATAATGGTAAGCAAACTCCTTTTGCTCTAGATATGAAAAATAAGTATTATAAATTGTTGCAAATTTATGGGTAATTGGTAGATTATTTTGTAAGGAAAAGTAGCTTTAATAAATAATATAACTAACATATTCAGTGACCTTAAAGGTATTAATTTCAACATTTTAAAACTATGATAGCATTAAATATACAATGCGTTCAGTTGCTTCGTCTCAATATTTACATACCCTATTTTAAAAGTTCTTAGGAAGATTTAGCAATGTGTGTATGAAGTTTCACTTGAGTAAATTATAAGCAGTAGCTAACCTTAGTAGACTTTTTTGAAAAAAAGATTCTGGTTTGTAGATGACCATACCAAAATACTGTTTACTTAGCTTTAGGAACTTGATTTTACAACAAAAGCTTGATATTTATTTTGGTCTGATGGGAAAAGTAGGTGGTAGAATTTTAAAGAGCAAGAATAATTCCAAAAATTTGCCTGGTGACATTTCTTCCCCTGTCTTTCCTCTTGACTGAATTTTTGTGAAACTTCCTTTCCTCACCACGACCAGATTGTCTATTGCTGTCTCTCTTCTCTGCTGATGGAGGAAACATGTTCCATTAGTCTCTACAGCAGAGCTGAAAACCAGGGAGTTGCCCCCTCCATCTAGGGGTTATTTAATTCTTTCATAGTATTGTTATGACTACTCAGAGAGCTCTTTGCAAGTGGTTTTCTTCCCATTTCTGTTGTGTATCATTTTTTTTTAAGTTTAATTTGTGATTCCGAGTGGGTTCCTGTCACCAGGTCCCTCTAGACCTGCGTCTCCACGTCAGCTCCTTCATCTCTTCACATCACCACACTGAAAATGTTCTGTGGAATTATTTTCTACTTTGTCTGCTTTTTTAATCTTTTCCTAATCCATCTTAGATTGTTTTCCCAGTGCTTCTTCTCTCAGATCTAATAATCATTCTTTAATATCAAATTTATTTTTTTGCTATAAACTTTATGTGAAATAAGTAAAATTAGAGTTGGGTTGCATTATTTATCTGTAAAGTTCTTGAAATAAAGTATAACTAATTATGAAAATTGGTTTCTTGTGGCTCACTGTATTCAGTCTACCACAATAAGGATTTTGCATGCCAAAAGTGGAAAGATAATAAAATTGGCTTGAAATGAATATATTTTATATAATAAAAACTAACATACTGAGTTAAACTAGACTATATAAAATTACCAAAATTGGTAGAAATAATCTATTTAATATTCTCTTTTATTATAGTTTGCATTAGGCTTTTTTGTATTGCAGTTAATTAAACTAAACCAATAAGTTTATCAACATTCTGTAATTCATTATACATTTTCATACTTGATATAATTTAAGTCATTCCATGTGTTTTTGTTCTCTGTTTTCAATTCATTCCAGTCAGTCGAAATGTACTGTCTTCCATAGGTTATCCTTCCCTTCAAGTGGAACTGGAAACTCCCACAGGGTTGCACTACACACCACCCACCCCTTTCCAGCAAGATGATTATTTTAGTGATCTCTCTAGCATAGATTCTCCCCTTAGAACTCCTAGTAGACTGAGTGACGGGCTAGTGCTTTCCCAGGGAAACATAGAGTGTTCAGCAGATGGACCGCCCGTTGTAACTGCAGAAGACACTTCCATAGAAGACAGCAAACTTGAAGACTCAATGCCTTTAACAGAAATGCCTGAAGCAGTGGATATAGATGATAGCCAGCTTGAGAATGTCTGTCTGAGTGAGTATCCTCAATACCTTGGATGTATGGCTGAGACCCCCCAAAGTGTTAAACCAGCAGAACCACTGAAGCAGACTAGAAATTTAGGAATAATCTCTGAGCAGCAAGAGAAAGGAAAATCTGGTCCTGATGAGGAGATAACGGAAGAAAAACTCAAATCTATCTTTGAGAACATTCACCTTGAAGAAGGCATAGAGTCTGAGGAGATGACAGAAGAGAAAGTGCAGGCTATTCTGAAACGTGTTCAGCAAGCAGAACTGGAAATGTCTTCAATTACAGGTTGGCAGAATGAGACATCAAGTGGAAACCTAGAGTCCCCCTCTCAAGCTCGAAGAATAACTGGTGGGTTACTTGATCTACTGGATGACAGGTACGGCCGTTTCAGAAAAAAAGAGTTATAAAATAAAGGCTATATGTTAGTAGCTGGTTTTCTAAATTCTAGCTTAGGGACAAAACTTCTTTTAACGGTTCATTCTATCATTCTGATCAGAAAAAGTTGCAATGAAATTCAGACATAACTATTAAAACTAGTAATAGCCTATTACATAAGTGCCAAAGGCTTATTTACTTTAGAAGAATGCTCTTCCAGTTTACTTGTCCAAGTCTCTAAATACAGTTTTCAGATATCAGTATAGTTCTGTCATCTAGCAATAATACCAACCACTGAAATGTAGGATTTTATATACTTTTTAAAATGTCAATGTACAGAAGTAAAAAATAAGTCATTCATCCTTCTACGAAAATCACAGCACTTCTGATATCCTTCTTTTCTAAATGAAGAGATTTTTAGATCACTTGTAACACAGCATATACAACTCCTTATTCCAAATAATATCCCTAGGATATAAATTTGTGTACAACTAAAAACGTTCTCTAATTATAAGTCTGCTTTTAGTAGAATGAAAGGTAAGAGTCTGTGTCCTGTGGACATTTATTCAAATCCTACCAGTATTGAATCTGTACTTTCAGAATAACATTATTGCATCTGGTAGATAGCTCCGAGATCTGGAGTACGTGCTGGAGGGAAATTTCAATTCCCGGTGCTGCACGGCCCCTTGGAGCAACATCATGTCTGATGAACACCAAGCGCCATTTTTCTGAACTAAAATTACTATTACTGTCCTCCAGCAGGTCTATAGCTCTTTTTTTTTTTTTTTTTTTTTGCTTTTTGGGTCACACCTGGCAATGCACAGGGGTTATTTCTGGCTCTGCACTCAGGAATTACTCCTGGCAGTGTTCAGGGGACCATATGGGATGCTGGGAATAGGACTATAGCTCTTTTTAAGAGCCTGGAGCATGCCTACCAGATGACTGGCGCAAATAATCCAAGTAATTATTGGCGTTATTTTTATGTGTAAATGAATCTTACAATCTTACTAAAGAATAGTTTACTTCAGTGGCAACTAGTGATAAACTTCAGTTGAATACAGAAACACAAGTTGTTTTATAATAATATTTAATATTTTCATAGGGCTAATAAACTCCTTGATCAATACAACTTCCCAAAGGAGTTGACAAAACTCCTTTGGAAGAGTGGTATTACCGGGCTAGAGAGACAGCTCAGTGGTCAGGGAAACAGCTTGTCCAGATGCCAGAATCTGCTCTCCAGTACCCTGTGGCCTCCAGCATTATGTGAGCAGAGCAGCACCACATTATTGGGCTAGAGTACTGAGTCCTCAAGCCTAGTAGCTGAGAATCATGGAAGTGGTACCAGTGCTCAAGAGCCCTCTCCTCTCCTCAAAAAGAAAACATGATGGTAGGGTTTATTATTGGAAACGTAAAACAAAGATTAATATGTGAGTGTGCGTGTAATATTAAAAGTAATATGTGAGGTTCTCCTCTTTCCAAAGGAGAACCTGGAAAAGGAATCTCATCACAGGAATTCATTTGCTCTTTGTCAACAGTGTTTTCACTAGCCACATGAAAGCATTTTGAGATCATCTTTTCCATTGGTGGTTCTGTATTCTGGAATTTGTTCATAAAACTTTCAGGGGTAATTTTTTATTACATCTAACCTAAGTGACAATAAATGGTTTAATGACTGCAGTAATTAATCAGCTAAGGAGGCACACTGGGATACAAGCGCCCTCTTAACTGCATACTCATGATAGTCTAGCCTCCACCCCAACTCCAGTTTGAAATCCAGTGAGCAGATTTTTTCATGCCCGTCTCCCTTATGCCTTGAAAGGTAGTCAAAGGCCTAGTTGTAACAGTTTAGAGTGTCTGAAGCCCATTTGAGGGAATCACATGTTTTATTATTATAAACACCAACTTTGTAACCTTTTGCAGCCCAGACCAGTATAGAGATTCCATTACTTCATATCTCAAAGGAGAACCTGGAAAATTTGAAGCAAATGGAAGCCATGCAGAAGTCAGCCCAGAAGCAAAGACAAAACCATACTTTTCAGAATCCTCAAATGATGGAGGGAAACAGAGCCCGAAGGAAGCTCTGAAACCCAAATTACATGGATCTGGCCGTGTTGAGGAGCCGGCAGCAGCATCTTTAGCAGCCTGTCAGAAATCCGTAGAAGAAACCAGCAAGTTTGTATCAGAAGAGCCTAAACCCTGTGTGCCTGTCAGTATGAAAAAGATGAGTAGGACTTCTCCAGCAGATGGCAAGCCAAGGCTTAACCTCCATGAAGAAGAGGGGTCCAGTGGGTCAGAACCAAAGGTATGTCATCATGTTCTCATGAAACTGAAATGCTGAGGCTTCACTGCTTTGGATGAATCCTGTAGCGTGACCTCAAAGTTGTTTTCTATTTCCAAATTATAAATGTATGATCAAATCTGGAGCACTAATTGGTGTGCGTGGGTGGGAGAGGGTGGGTGAAGGAAGTACGCAGTAAAGCATATGCTCTTTGATCATATCTTCATTCATTAGGCAAGAAAAACATAATTATCACTCTTACCATTTTTTTTCAGACAGAAAAAAAAATCAGAGATTAAGTAACTTGCTTCAATCTCAATATTTGAACTGAGATTTACATTTTCTAACTCTCAATCCATTCTTTTTTTATGGGAGATAGTTATTTTGACCCTTTCTGGCTTTTCTGCATAATTTGTGGTCTTTCATAGTTCTGTGCAATAGATCAGCTCTCTCAAAGATTTAAAAATTGAAGAAACAAGGTAATGGGATAGATATAATGCATATTATAGATACATATCCATTTCTTTAGCTTTGTTTATATGTCAATTTTAGCTTTGTAATTAACTGTAATATATGCCAATTTATGACATTTAGAAATTTAAAGTTAGAAGTGTCATTTTTACACGTACGGTAACTATGCTTATTTCTAGTAATTAAAAACACCTACAGTCATACTTAGTTGCTTACTCCTTGTACTAATATTTTTGTGATGCCATATGATAGATTTTCTTTTATTCTTTGAGTGTTGCCGTGATGTCACTGTCACTGTCCTCCCATTGTTCATCGATTTTCTCGAGCAGACCCAGTAATGTCTCAATCGTGAGACTTTGTTGTTACTGTGTTTGGCATATCGAATACGTCACGGGGAGCTTGCCAGGCTTTGCTGAATGGGCGAGATACTCTTGGGAGCTTGCCCAGCTCTCCGAGAGGGGCGGAAGAATCGAACTCAGGTCTGCCATGTTGGCTGCATGCAAGGCAAATGCTTTACCCTTTGTGCTATCATTCCAGCCTGCTGTGATGAGTTATTTTAAAAATTTAAACAGAAAATTATGACTCAAATAATAAGAAAATAATGATGTCTTACATGTTCCACTGCTTTTTGTTTCAAAACTATTGTTTCATGAACTGTGCAGAAAACAGACTATGAATAATAAATCATTAGAATCATAGCACCGAATTTCCCTTAGAACCTGTCTAGTTAAGTAACTGCTATGGGTACAAAAAGAAAAAAAACATGTATTTTGTAAAAGAATGAGCCCATGTTTAATGTGAGGTTTAAAAAACTTAAAGACTCCCAGTCATTTAGGAGCTAATTATCAGCTTATCTTCTAATTATATCCTTTCCTTTTCCCTTTTTTCAGGCTATCTTTTGACCATTTTCCTGATTGTTAGGAAAGATAGTAAAATTCTTAGATTTTTCTTTTGCTTCCTTCCTGATGAGTGTAGCTGTGGGTATTAATGGTAGTAGGATTTGGGATGGTATGTTCCCTTTTTAAATTAGCTTATATTGAGAGAAGTCATTGTGGCATTTTAACTGAGAACTTATTCTATAAAAGTTGATAGAAAACTTTAGAAATCAAGTTGTAACATGAATATGAATGAGTTGTGCTCTGTGTGTGTCCACATGCTCAAATGGGCCATGGGAGAAGTGCTAGTGGAAGCTTAAAGGAAACTCTGTAATGGAAAATAGCTACTATTAGAAAATATTTTCAAGAATTCTTATGAGTTTGCAGTTTGGTTTCGACCACTGGTCCTACGTCAGAGGATGAATAAAGGTTTCATAAATATAAAAATATAAAAAGTCAAAAACTTCCGGGAGATCTGAGCCTGATCTCTTAAGAAACTCAAACTCATATATATTTTGTGGCTAGACCTTAGGACAGTAACAACCACCTGGGTCATTTGATAGATGATTTCAGAAAAGAGTCGCCTTTTTTGTCCCCTGACAATCAGGTCAAAAGTCCGGGTGCAGCTTTTACACGGATGACCGCCTGCTGTTACAAGGTAAAATTCTGCTGCTATTCACTTGTTTCCATGCAGTAACCCTTGACCAGGAGTATTGAGAAAAATCTTCTTTATCTCTAGTTTCTCTCTTGACCAATACCTAGATAACTCTCTGAAGGAAATTTTATAATATCATCATCATTGAGAGAATAAAAGTTAAACTTTGACCAAATATCCAATTTTTATTTTAAGGGACTTGTCTCTGATAATTTTGGATAGGTTTATAATATAACAGACATGTAAGATTATTTGGATGAATGCGTTTTTCTGATTTTGAATGTATCCAAGTAAAAAATCTTTCTTCAATTTAAAATTTCCTAAACAGATCATTCAGATTAAAGTTTTTCTTTTACTTCTTCAATGTATTCGTCCCCAAATGCCACTTGTACTTCTTCTCTTTCACAGAATTTACGTCATTCTAATTGTTACAGATATGCTTTAATAACAGAGAACCTAGTAGCCAATTATTTTGCAAGGAAAACAAAACTTGAAAATACTTTTCTTTGTCTGATTTCCATATTCTTGTCTGTAAAATGTTCCTTTTCTGTTTTAATTACTAGTCCTTAGATCTTTCATGTTTCACATCTTTTGAGTAAATGACTAAGTATGTGCCAGTAAAAAAAATCCCCATATGAAATATATATCTGTGACAAATTAAACAGATAGTAATTTGTTTCAATTTCAAGATAACTTTTGATAAAGTTGTCAAATCTAAAATCTTCAAAAAATATACAGTGCTTTGTACAGATCGACTGAAGGTTGGTTAGAACTATATTTATAATTATATGCACAAATTGGAGATTTAAAACTAGTTTAATTTTAATGTGTCTTCAAATTGGTCATGTATACCATAGTTTCTATAATTATTATAGAAACATTCTATAATTGTTATTTTAATACTTTGTAATTTAATTACCTTGATCTTTGTGCATAGGGTAAGTCTATAGAAAATAATTCCATTACTCTTCCTGAAGTTTGATTTCACTTGCTATTTTTTTAAATATTTTCACAAATATACATCGTGATATTCCAGAGGATGGGGGGAGAGAGGGCTAACAGCAAGTCAAAGTAAATTCTTTCTTGATTTCCCTTCTCAGAATGTCTTTTGTATTAAATGTGATGGTAAAATTAAACTAAAAATGCATTTATCAGGACTTGAGTGAGAGTGATTCGAGCTCAGAGGAAGAACGGAGGGTCACTACCCGCATTACTCGCCGTCGTTTGATTATAAAGGTACCCCCATAACTGGATTGTTATGGGGCACTGGTATATAAGAAACTTCTTTCTTATGCTTTTGAAAACCCAGCATGCGTGTTAAGCAAATGATTCTGTATATGTTCTCTGTATTCTTGAAAGCACACAGAAACAACCAGAAAGAAAAAGCCATGTTGCATGGTGACCTGTCTATCTATATCTGTGTTTGACATGTGGCAGTTAAAAGTTTTACACAAGAATTCTTGGCATTTGCATCTTCATATCAAATAAAATGTCCTATTGAAACTTCAGAGGCTCTAGTGAGATGAGAGAAAGAAGAAAGAGAAATAGTGAGAACGCTCCCTTTTCTACCTCAGTTTCTTATTATATTCAGTATCTGAGTGAGAATGTGGAAGGATAGCCTAGCTTGGATGATATGGGACGATCCAAATCGCGCAAAAACTTTTGAAATAGTAAAGTTAAATATCTAGTCTCATATTTCTTGTTTTAAGTATTGGAAACATTTTTAGCTGGAAATTAAAAAAATTAATCCCACCCTGTTATAGCACAGTTAAACACTATAAATAATAGTGTTCTTGATTTCCACCACAAAAAGATCTGGAAGCACTGATGTTACTCATGGTGAAGGCCAGCATGTCCGCCCATTGTCTTCATACTGTGTGTTGAGATCTTGGACATCAGAATAATTGAACGAAGAACTAAACGGCCATTTTCAACACCCGGGTCTTTGAATATGGCTGTAATAACTTGAGGCTTTCTGATTGGCAGTGACAGAGAAAGAAAAGAAGGGAAATATTAAAAGCCATTTGTCACACTTGTCCCATTCCTAAGTAACAAGAGGTCAAGGTCGAGGAAGCTGGCTTAGGCATAGAAAACATTATAATCCTGTGCTTGTACTTTCCATTGAGTTCAGATGAAAGGAAAATGTGTTTTAATATAGTTTTTCTAAGACCTAAAGCATTGGAGAAGATTTTTTAAATCTTATAAAATACTCAATTTGACCTTGAGTTCAAATAGGGTGCTACTATAAAGAAGCATTAATCACTTCTTTCAAAATTCTATATAGACATGTAAAATACTTCCTGGTATCTAGTTAGTATTCAAGCCATTATCTATTCAATTTTCTTAGTTACCTCCTACACATTACCTGGGATTTGGGTGGAAAAATAGATTTCTGAAGGTGTTAAATAAAGTCATATTCTTTGCTCAGACTTTGCTATTTCTGTAACCAGTACCTTATTTTATGTGACTTTAAAATTATATTTAAAATAAAAAATCTAGAAAAGGCATGCCAGGCATATTGTCATATTACTTTATATGCTTGATATATTCTTGTTTTATTCAAATATATCTCTTCTTAATAGTTGCCCATTACAGAGGATAACAATATAGGAAAGAAAACAAATATAGTCCTGCAGGAAGCAACAGAGTGAATAAAGGAAAACTTTGAAGAATAAAAACATGCAAATTTTTAACTCAGTGAGGCGTGTTTCTTTTTGTCTCCTAAAGTTTGTCTCCTAAAGAGTTAAGTTTGAAAGACCAGCATAATTATATGATTTTATAGTTTTCAGAAACATGGCAGTTTACATTCTTCCTAAACTTACTTCTGGAAGTTAGTGTCATTTTAGGGATATTGAATAAAATTATCAAAGAATAGGTTTTATTGCTAGGAAATCATTTTTTAAAAAAAGCAGAATTTCTCTAACAAAATGATGGGGTATATGTGCTGGAAAACAAGTTTTATCCCTGAACTCAACTAGGCTGGATCTGGTGTGCCCCAGCACTTCCAAACATTGCCAGAAATGTTCCCATGAGTACCAGAAAGGCCCCTCTTTAAAAAAAAAAAAACAGAATCTCTCATACAGGCCATAGGGAATGTTTTTGTATACACTAAAGAAAACAAGGGTGAAGAAAGATTATAATTATTAGAAGATATAGGCATCTTTCTGTTCAGACTTTTTAACTCCATTTGATGTTCATTTTTATTAGTGTAAAAAGCTCGACACTGCAGTAATTAATGGTAGATATGACATGCAAATTTTGTCTTCAAAAATATAAGAAAGGATTTAAAGGATCCCTGAGCTTAAATCTCTTATTTTCCTAGATGAAAAGAAGCCAAGATAAGTCATTTCACTCCAGAATCTGCAGCAGAGTAGTAAACAGTCTCGGTATCAGAGTCTAACCCTGCAGTGAAATGCCTTCTACCTTTTTTCCCCCCATATTTCATAGTCTTTCCTTTCCAGAACAGACAAAATGAATTAAATTTTCCTAGAATAAATTAAGCACGTGGCCACTTGCAGTGGCACAGAAGAAGGAAGAAAGCACTTTAGGCTGGCTTTCCTGGAAACGATTTGATGGACCGAAATGCTAGGAATTTGACCTACTTTAAGAAAACTGTCCAAACTGTACCAAACCAGTGTGTTTATATTATTTGTCATAGTGATCTGTATAGCACTTAGGAGCTCAGAGCTGAAAACTACTTAGGGATTATTTTGTCTCCCAGAGCTAGCTGTGATGGCAAGTGTCAGTGGAAACAGTAGGTATGCACAAGATGCTTTTACCATGACCATCAAAGCAAACAGCTTGGCTGTTCAAGCTGTCCAGTAAATGGGGTGAAAGTATAAGAATTTTTTTTCTCCAGTAGGCCACAGTAGGCATGTAGCTCCGGGGACCAGATGGTACCAGGAATTGGATCCAGGCCACCCACATGCAAAACACTGTCACTGTCGCTGTCGCTGTCCTCCCATTGTTCATCAATTTGTTCGAGTGGGCCCAGTAACAAGACTTGTTACTGTGTTTGGCATATCGAATATGTCACAGGGAGCTTGCCAGGCTTTGCTGTGCGGGCGAGATACTCTGGGTAGCTTGCTGGCTCTCCGAGAGGGGTGGAAGAATCGAACTCGGGTTGGCCATGTTGGCCACTTGCAAGGCAAACGTCCCTACCCACTCTGCTATCGCTCCAGCCCAATGCAAAACACAATGCTAACTTTTTGAGTTATATTCCCAGCTCCTGTAAATTTTTTTCCCAAGATTTTCAAGACCCTAAAGAATGAGTCAAGTTAGCAAACTCTCCCATTTATGTTAGGATTTTACAATTGGACCGCATATTATTTTTTATATGATTTGATACTATCAAAGCAGTTTATTGTATTCACCAGTCTCATTTACAGTACACTAGGCATATGGCAAATTCATTGATTAAAGGTAAAATCTTTAAATCAACTCAAGACCAAAATTTTATAAAAGTTGTATCAGATTCAAATAACTGAACACTAACTATGTAGTTCAAATGTGTCATATAAGCTTTTTTGCCAACTTTCCAAATAAGAGTTTTTATGTTTTCCCAAAATTAAGCAATTCAAAAAATCTTTGAAGTCCTGCCTGTTCTATTTCTTAGAGAGTCATTATTCACAAGCCGTATTTTTTAAATATTCTTGGGATTTTTATAATATAAAAATAGATTGTCTATATATTGCCTAATAACTTGCTAAATTATATGAAATGTAAATATATTCAGTCATTTTTGGAAAGGTCAAGTTTCAGTGTTGTCTGTCACAGCAAATCAGTGCATCTCAGGCTATTTCATTGTACTTAAAAATTCAAAAAGAAGAATAAAAATTATAAAATGCAGTACGTCTAGCAGGGGGTCAGTGAAGCACAGTCATTACAGTGGCCATCATCAGGGATGATGACATGACACCATATGTGCTGTAATTTTTCCTTTGCAATAGGAGACAACAACAGTGGAAGGGTGGTATTGCCAAAAAAATGTCAGTAAGACCAGGGAAGTGGGGATTTTGTTTTTGTGAAAGTATAATCTGTAGGCAGCAGTGACATTCAGTGGTAGAATACATGCTTCAGCATGTGAGGAGTTGAGTTCAGTCACTGCACTGTGAAACAAAAACTAGAGATTTTACTTCCTAGTAGAAAAGAGGGCCCAAAGACTCTCCTCGGTAATTCTTGTTAACAAATAACACATTTCATAGAATTAAAAATGAAGGATTTTTTTTACATTTATTTGTGACTGTTGTCTTTTCTATTTATTCGGTCCCTTTCTAATCCACTTCCCCATTTAGTTATTCACAGACTTATTTATTTTGACATGATTAATGCATGATTGACTATATTTCACAGCTATTTAAAATTGAGAGGTAGGGGCCAGAGCAATGGTACAGCTGATAGGGTTTTTACCTTGCACGTGGCTAACCTAGGTTCAATCCCCAGCATCCCATATGGTCCCCTAAACAATGCCAGGCATAATTCCTGAGTGCAGAGCCAGAAGTTACCCCTGAACATTGCTAAGCGTGACCCAAAAAGCCAAAAAAAGTGTTTCTTTTAAAAAATTAAAGTGAGAGATATATTCACCTTCAATTTTAACGAAGTCTGAATTTTTAGTAGGAGACTAAACCTATGTATACAGTGGATTTCATCCACCTATATTTATAAAAAGGATTTTGATTTTTTTCTGAGGTTATAGGTATTAATCAGGTGATATGTAGTCACTATGCTTATAAATATACCTATCTCACTTTCCTTTCAGCAACTATCTAAATAATTTAGAAAATAATTGACATAGTTCACCACAAAGGGTGCAATCTGTTTTACTAGATTTTCCTGAAAGTCTTGAATTGTCTAACATTCAAAGAGCTGGACATTATGAAAAGTTAGCTAAACAATATCTCATTAATTCGTATTTAAACTATAATGAAACATTTCATGAGCCTTTCTTGGTCTTTCTGCATTCTTTATGACGTTCCTTTTAAAATAAATAGAATTGTGCTTTTCTGCCAAAGATAAAACTAGCCATAGGGAACAACACCTCCCATAAAAAAAGAAAAAAGTTGGAGTGTTTGGAGAGATCACACAGTAGGTAGGGCACTTGTTTTGCATTCAGTCAACCCAGGTTCTATTTCTGGCATCCATATGGTCCCCTGAGAACCGTTGGGAGTATTCCTGAGTGCAGAGCCCAGAGTAACCCTTGAGCATCACCAGTTGTTGCACCCCTAACCGCACTAAAAAAAAAAGAAAAAGTTGGAGATTTCAATACATTTAAATGTCTAAATATTTCTAATGTCCCTTTTTTTTTCATGTTTTTTAAGGGACTCCCATGCAGTTCCCGGGAACTGTTCCCCACGACACGCAGGCTGCCTAGCTTTGCCATGCCTGGGGCCACCAGGGTTACACCCTGCTGTGCTCAGAAGGCCATGTGATGCTGGGGTTTGAACTCATGCAAAGTATATGCCCCGACTACTGAGCTGTCTCTAAGAGCCACCTCTAACTGAAACTGATCATAAGCAAGATTGAAAAGGAAGATGCTGAATTTCTTCCTACTTATACCACATTGAGATAAAACAGGTCAGATGTCCCCCCTCCCCGCCCCCGTTATCTTAACCTGTGAGTCCACAATCTTTTAGAAGATAGCCACTTTGTGACAAGAAAGAAAATTTTGTTAACAAAACAAGTCATTTCAAATTATAACTGTCATCTTCCCATGGTGATTTAAATTATATAATTGTCTCACCATGAGCTAGTACTGAATAAATGATTAGCATTATTACCGTTTCCATGACAGTAACAGTGAAAGAGTTAGAATCGTAGCTCCAGAAATGAATCTGCTTTCTTTGTGATGTGCCATTTTGTTCTGTCAATGATAGTGTCTCATGCATACAATATTCTACCACCAGTCCCCCCACCCCCACCATCACCATAGTGCTTATTTCCCTTGACTACGCCTTAGGGTCTCACCACCTTGGTAAGTTCAGTGCTTAGACAGTATTCATAAAACATCATTATTTGTATTTTAAGACTTGAAAGTATCCCATCTAAAGTACTGTTTTTATTCAAATTATAGTGTTTTAATTCCTATCAATGGAGGAATTTGGTAGGACAAAAAACGTATATAGAATGAGGTGATATGATACAACAGAGCTCTAATTCTTAACTCTTTTTTTTTTCAAAAAATGGAATCATTTTGTTGGCATATCCTTGTTTCATTGCATTCTAATTACATACTTTCATGTTCTTTTTGGAGTGCGTTACTAACTTTCAGTCCTGTGCATACTTGCTTTGAGTTCATATAACATCAGTGACTGTTAAATAATCATCAGTGGAGCTGGACTTTCCCCCTTGCACTGGCTACTAAGTAGAATTAATGCCTTCTTTTTCTAAAATTCCAGAGCATGGATATTGTGTCTCGAGTGGTGTGCAGATCTATACATTCAGTATGTTGCTAATCTCTATGCCACATCCTTTAGGGAGAGGAAGCAAAAAACATTCCTGGTGAATCTGTCACAGAAGAGCAATTCACTGATGAAGAAGGCACCCTCATCACCAGAAAAGTAATCACCATGGGAATTTCATGTTTCTCTTGGAATTTAGATTTTTCTGCCTTTCGTTTGCTGTAGTGTTTATCTCCTGAAGTAGAAAACAGAAAAACCTCTTTTACTATTTATTGCTTCCTACAGATCACTCGGAAAGTAATAAGACGAATTGTTATCCCACAAGAAAAAAAACGCGTTGATGTGGTAATGGAGAGGGTTGGCCAAGAGAAAGTAGAGGATAAACGCTTTGCGAATTCTTTGGAGAATGCTGCTAATAGGCTGGCATCTGTGGTGTGGCAGCTTGAAGCATTTTGCTCTTGACTTATTCTGCGTTTGATCAATAAAAGAAAAAAGATTTTCTAATACTCTTGATTCAGAGTTTCACAGAGATAAAATTCAAGTGTTACAGAGGGAAATGGGGGCTGGAGCGATAGCACAGCGGGTAGGGCGTTCGCCTTACAAGCGGCCAACATGGCCGACCCGAGTTCGATTCCTCCGCCCCTCTCGGAGAGCCCGGCAAGCTACCGAGAGTATTCAATATGCCAGACACAGTAACAACAAAGTCTCCAATGGAGACGTTACTGGGCCCGCTCGAGCAAATCGACGATCAACGGGAGGGCCTTTACCTTACCTTTACAGAGGGAAATAAAAATCTTATAGTGCCAAACTGCTCATCATGCACCCTTCTGCCCAGTGCCTTACCTATAGCTGTGTACCTGCTAGGGACACAGATAGAGGATAAATGCATTGGGTTCAAACAGTGTAATGGCAGAAAGTTTGGGTTGAGATTCTTCCAGCAAGTCTGTACTTTCTCCCATCCCATTATATTCCACTGTGATGTCAGAATTCCCCTCAACAGAATCAGAGGATGGTTTCTTTCTTTGGTCTTGTCAGTGGTGTAACTCAGCCAATATGACTCCATAGCCAAGAGAAAATATCTCTGATTATTTTTCCTCTCTTGACCCTTCTAAGAGTTTAACCCTTTTCATTTTTATTTATTTATTTGTTTAATTTGCTTTTTGGGTCACACCCGGCTATGCACAGGGGTTACTTGTGGCTCTGCACTCAGGAATCTCTCCTGGCGGTGCTCAGGGGACCATATGGGATGCTGGGAATTGAACCCAGGTCGCCCGCGCGCAAGACAAACGCCCTACCAACTGTGCTATCGCTCCAGCCCCCTTAGCCCTTTTCATTTAAAAAGAAGTTTTAATCACCTGTGTTTCTCTGAGAAAAAAATAAATAGAAAATCTCTGATAGACAGGAATTTAGAAAAACTACTATCTTTTGATACAATTTTGTGCTCAGAGAGAGGAGTGCTGGCTTGGTTTGGGATGAGAGGAAGAGGTTGATAAGTACACAAACTTAAAAATTGTGGGATCAGGTATACAACTCAGTTCTACTTACTTGCCTGGCATGCATGAGGTCCTTGGTTCAATTCTTTGCATCACCCCCCAAAATATCCTCTAAACAATAGGATTTCTGTGTAATCTTAGTCCGTGATCCGTGCTTGCCGAGAAACATCATTTCCTCATAAACATGACTTAAAATGATGCTGGTGGAAAAATCATAATATACTAATAATTGTTGTATTTGGAGTTTGAGTGCCTTGAGAACTTTAATGATGTTTTTTTCCTACCTTACTATACTAGAAGCACTATAGCACTGTCCTCCCATTGTTCATCGATTTGCTCAAGCAGGCCCAGTAACGTCTCCATTGTGAAACTTGTTGTTACTGTGCTTGGCATATCAAATATGTCACAGGAAGCTTGCCAGGCTTCGCCATGTTGGCGAGATACTCTCGGTAGCTTGCCGGGCTCTCCGAGAGGGGTGGAGGAATTGAACTCGGGTAGGCCGTGTCGGCTGCATGCAAGGCAAATACCCTACCCGCTGTGCTAGCTACCCATGATGTATTCAATATGCCAAACACAGTAATAAGTCTCACAGTGTTACTGGGCCCGCTCGAGCAGATCGATGAATAACAGGAGGACAGTGCTGTAGTGCTACTATACTAGAAACAGTCTGCACATTTTCTCAGAATTTACCACTAACCTACTGAATTAGCGAAGGACAGTTACGTCATATGTCTGATTGTGCTCTCTAGATTACCTCAATGACTCTTGCTGTGTGGCTAAGCCAAATAAATTATGGTTTGGAATGTGAAGTGTCAGTGTGCTTTTAAACCAGGTTTCACTTATCCTAATTCAGCCTCAAGGAACAAGAATGGGAAGTGCTTCAGAGCTAAGCTCAGTTACCATGAAATCTTAATGTACACATTCCTTTTAAAGCAGGGAGAAGGTTATAAGATGAAGACGAAGAAAGAAATACGGCATGTGGAAAAGAAGAGCCACTCATAACAGTAAACGGTTAGTCTGGGCGATACATGGGTTCATAACCCAGCAGTAGCTCTTAATTTGTGTGAAACACCTTATTCATTTCCCAAGTGATTCATCTATTCCTCACTGTCACTGAATTCCAGCTTTGAGTATCCAATATTTGTTCATGCATACCTACAATGAAACTTGTCTCTACTTAGTAGTCCATTTACTTTCTCCTCACTTGAGTCAGAAATTCAACATAAATAGTGAATTTTGAGACTGCCCTAGCTGAAGACGCAGTGTGAAATGTAATAGCATTGTACAGGCTAAATTTGTTAAGTGAGATGTTTAGTGAACTTTGTTTAAACTTGTTTTAATTTTTCTTAGTAAAGGATATTTTAGCTTACTTTTCTGAATTATACTTTGTTTTACTAGGATAAAGGAATAATAGAACAATAGAAACCATCCTGTTTCTACTTAGCTACAATTTTTAACAGCCCTCTGGGGAGCCAGTGAGGTAGTACAACTTACTTTGCACTGAGCTGACTGAGGTTTAATCTTCTGCATAAGGTCCCATGCAGGCTCTAACCTCCCACCCTTCTCCATCATCCCAAAAGATTTTTGGGTTAGAAAAGCAGATTAAACTGTGGCAAGGTCTTTGTTGCTAGTGGTGGTGGTGGTGGTTTATACCCAGTGGTGCTCAGGGGTCACTCCGGGCTCTGCACTCAGGAATTACTCCTGGCTGTGCTGGCAGGACCATATGGGATGCCAGGGATAGAACTTGGGTCGGGTGCGTGCAAGGCAACAGCCCTACCTGCTGTATTATTGCTCTGGTCCTTCTGAAAAGTTTCTTTTTATGCATGTTGTAGTGTAGGTTTCCAGAGGAAAGTTCTGTAGAACAGTTTACCAACAGTTCTCTTAGCCCTAGTGGTCAAATTATAAAGAAAATTCTGATTTCTAGTTTCCTCTGTCTGCTGTTTCCCACTCAGCAGCATCACAGTGTTTGGAGTGTTGAGGTAAAGAACTGAGCAGTCCTCTAGTCTCATTACCCCTAATTTTGTATGCACGATAGCTAAAGCGCAGACACATTCTTAACTCCGACCCCCAAACCTAGTCATTTGTATATTGATTTACTCAAACTTATTTCACTTCTCTGTGAAACAAGTTCTTTCTTTCTACATAAGCATTAAGAAATCATTAGTGAATAATATAAGTGAGGTGCTTGCTTTCAAATGAGCCTTTGCATTTTGGAGAATATTATGGCATTAAGAAAACTAAGAATTTCAGAGTACTCTGGAAATTATACACACAAACATACACACACACACACACACACACATATATATATATATATATATATAGTATATATACTCTTCCAAATTTTTCACATTTGCTTTAAATCTCTCAGCCAACCCACTTGGATAGGTGCACTGAATCATTACATTTAACAGGTGAGAAAGCAAACCCGCAAATGACTAAGGCAACATCAAGTAAAAGTGGTAGAAATGTCCTACTAGACCCATGCTACTCCAGTCCTATTCAACCCTCTGTCATGTTACCTAGAGATTTGACTTGAGTCTGAAATAATAGGAAAGTGGTATCGGGGCCGAATCTTACAGGAAGAACCAGATGGTGACTCGGCTCTGCAAGCAGTGGCAATCTGACAGGGTCTGAGGTTGTCTTCTAGGCACAAGTAAGAATATTCTGTATAGTTCTGCAAAGAACAGAGAAGTGCAGATGGTGTTTCTGCTGTGTGTTTTTGGACCTCCAGGGTATATTCCCAGAAGTAGTATTGCTGGGTCAAAAGGGACCTCAATTTCTAGTTTTTGAGGAATGTCCATATTGTTTTCCAAAAAGGCTGGACCAGTCGGCATTCCCACCAGCAATGAATAAGTTTCCCTTTTTCTCCTGCGTCCGCACCAGCACTGGTTGTTCTTGTCCATTTGTATGTGTGCCAATCTCTGTGGCATGAGATGATATCTCATTGTTGTTTTGATTTGCATCTATGTTCATTGCAGGACTATTCACATAGCCAGAATCTGGAAACAACCTGAGTGTCCGATAACAAACATACAGATAAAAAAAACTATGGTACATGTACACAATGAAATACTACACAGCTCTAGGAAAAATGAGGTCATGAAATTTGTCTATAAATGGATAGACTTGAAGAGTATCATGTTGAGTGAAATGAGTTAGAAGAGAAGGACAGATGTAGAATGACTGTGTTCATTTGTTATTAAAAAAAACCAGTATGAAACTAATATCCAAGACCAGGGAAAATAGGACAGGAGAACTGGACAATGGTGGGTCATTGGTGTGGGATGGAGGGTAGTCAAGCTAGAAGAAGGTCCATTATGTCAATATTAGTTAGAAATCAATATTAGTTAGAAATCTGGACAAGAATTCAGTGTTGAAAGCAGGTAAAGGAATATACTGGATAACCTTTCAGCATCTGTTATCACAAACCATGATGCCTAAAATGAGAGAGAGAAAAGAAGTACTTGCCATAGAGGCAGGCTGGGTTGGGGGGTGGCTTGAAGGGATGGGAGGGAAACTGAGGACACTGGTGCTGGGAAACTACACTAGTGGAGGGATGGATGTTGAAACATTGTGTGACTGAAATGCAATCATGAACAATTTTCTAATGCTCTATATCACAGTGATTCAATTTTAAGAAAAAAATCTGCAAAAGCCAGAAATATAAAGTAGTGAAGCTGGGACTGTGAGAACAGTTCACTGAGGTAGCAGAAGAATTGAACTGTTATGTCTGGAGAGGGAGAAAGATCAAGAATATTCAGGCCTCTCTGCCTCTTCATAAAGATTCTGTTCATTACACAAGAAGCACTGGGGATCTGTTGATGGCTTACAGGCAGGAGTGGGACATAATTAAACTTACGTTCTGAACAATTTGCTATAGGATAGGAGATGAATTGGATATAGGTGGTATTACTAGATGATCTGATGCTGGCTAAGGCAATGAGGATGGTAAAAAGGCTGAATCAAGAGATTTCACATAACATGCTTTTTATTGGATAAAAGGGTGAGAGATCAGCATAGCATCAGTATAGAAATAACCTAGAATGAACCTAGTATGTATGTCTTGAAGCTGAACCTGCTGAAAGACACAGTGTTAACCATGTGCTTGTCAATGAATTAATGACTTATCTAAGCTCCCTAAGCTGGTGAGCAAAAGAATGAAATTTGAACCTACCTAGAGTATAAACCACAAATTCTTATTACATGAAAAGTCCTTGAGACCTAAAAACAAACTTCACATATTTTCATAAACAAATTTATTATTCTTCATAGTGAAAATACTCTGGTTTTGGTTCTTGACCCATACATGGCTGTATTTGAGGGGCCATATGGGGTACTGGGGATTGAACCCATGTTGGCCAATTGCAAAGCAATTGCATACTAGCTGTACTATCTCTCTGGCCCCCTTGTTTTTTTCTTAAAGCACTTTACCATTAGATGTTAACAAGATTGTGGCAAGAGGAGATAACCAAACAGAAATGGGTAAAAGACCCTAAAATAGTTCTTTGGGGGAAATTCTCATGGGCAAATGCATAGCAAGAGGGGCAAGACTATCTGAGGTCAAAACTTTGACTTGTGTCTTTCTTAGAAGTGGATATTTGAGCTGGCATTGATATCTGCCAATGTGGAGGATCATAAGTACAATGCTCATGACTTTAGTCTTCATCCTGGAGACAGTGAAATACTACTGAAGTTTTGTGTTAGAAGAATAATATGATCACATGTGATTTGGTAACCCTAGTCATAGTAGAGAGAGTTGGTGCAAAAGAGTTTGAATACAAGAACATCTGTTACTAAACAAAGATGAGATCCTGCAGAGGGTCAGTAAGAGTAAGAAGAGTAAAGGAAAAAATGTGAGTAATGTTTTCAGAGAATACAAAGAAAAACATGAATTGAGGTAGTTTTGATGGTGAAATAAACCTTGTAGATACTCAGTTTGCCATGTCTTCAGTACTTGTCAATTATTCAGTAGAGAAGTCTCAATTAAAAATCTTAATATGGGGACTGGAGCAATAGCACAGTGGGTAGGGTGTTTGCCTTGCACGTGACCAACCCAGGTTCGATTCCCAGCATCCCATATGGTCCCCCAAGCACCTCCAGGAGTAATTCCTGAGTGCATGAGCCAGAAGTAAGCCCTGTGTAGCACCAGGTGTGACCCCCAAACAAAAAAATCTTAATATGGTGGGGCCAGAGATATAGTATAGGGGGTAAGACATTTTCCTTGCAGGAGGAGTGATCCCTGAGCCCAAGCATGGTGTAACCAAAAACACAAACCAGAACAAAAACACGGAAATTCTAGTCACTGGTGGAATAAGGATAAGAGGAAAATGGCGTAAGTGGGTGGAATTATCAGGAATTTTCCTCTCTGTGTGCACTAAATCCTTCCTCCTCCTCCTCCTCCTCCTCTTCCTCCCCCTCCCCCTCCCCCTCCTCCTCCCCCCCTCCTCCTCCCCCCCTCCTCCTCCCCCCCTCCCCCTCCCCCTCCCCTCCTCCTCCTCCCCTCCTCCCCCCTCCTCCCTCATCCCTCCTCCCTCCCCCTCCCCCCCACTACTATTGGATTACATTTGACATTTGTTTGAGTTAATATGCATAAATTGCTTAAAGTAGTGACTAATGAGTCCCATCGAAGCACTTATTAAGTTCAGTTACTTTTTTTAGTAGTAAGAGACAAAAGAAGAACATCTTGAAGAACCTGGATTAAAAAGACCAGTGGACTAGAAGCATCAGCAGCCAGAGACTGAAATAATAGTGGGAGAAATTGGAAGAGATGTGTCCTGAAATTCTGTGTCATATTGGCTTATATTTCACAATGATCGAAATTACTTCCTATCAACTGTTCCTCATAGTTGTCTTTGGAAATTAGTGTAATAAAACAAAAATAATAAAAATCTCCAGGTATTTTAAGAACAAGCTGAATTTTAACCTATATGTCATGACTTAGGACATATAGCATGGCAGAACCTGGCAAGCTCTCTGTGATGTATTCAATATTCCAAAACCAGTAACAAT